AGGAAGGCACCTGATCCTCAACAACAGATTTGTTTAATGGTTTGTCATGTGTGAAAAGTTTCTTCCCTGCGAAAGAATCGTCTCCCGAGGCCTGAATACGACTTCAATGGTAAGTTGAAATAACTATACTACTATTGATTAACGTGTCCCTCGCTCTTCTTCAACTGACAGCTTCCCAAAGGCATAAATTCCTTTATCAATCCTTTATGTGAAGAGTGGTCCTAAACAAGTTGTCAATGTAGTAGACCAGGAAGGCACCTGATCATCAACAATAGGTTTGTTTAATGGGTCAGTGAAAAATCCTTTCCTGAGATCTAAACACTATCAAATCAATGCCAACTATTGAACAAATAGACTTTATAATTGATATAGGTGTCTCTAGCTCTTCTTCAAAAGGGACAGCTTCCCAAAGCCATCAGTTCCTGTATCAATCCTTTATGTGAACATTGCTCCTCAACAAATTTTCAAGGAAGTAGACTGGGAAGGCACCTGATTTCTCCACAAAATATTGCTTAACTCGTTGTGAATTGTGAAACATTTCTGTCTCAGGGAACATAAATCCTTTCATAAGACCTTAATAATACTGCAATGGCAATTATAACAATAACTACATATGTGAAATAGGTTGTTCTAGTTGTTGTTCAAAACTGACAGCTTCCCAAAGCAATCAATTCCTTTATCAATCCTTTATGTGAAGATTGGTCCTAAACAAGTTGTCAATGTAGTAGACCAGGAAGGCACCTGATCATCAACAATAGGTTTGTTTAATGGGTCAGTGAAAAATCCTTTCCTGAGATCCTTATAATTACTACTAAAGCAAAATATAGTATATTTGATTAAATTTGTGTTTAACAATCCGTTATGTGAAGGTTGGTCCTAACAATTGTCTTTTCTTGAGCTGAAAATCTGAGGCTGAGAATTAAATACAATGAACCTGAGCAAGGACAATTGATACAATCTATGAAAGGGCAATACATACAAACAAAAAGACATCAATTGCAAAAGGAATCCTCCCAGGAATCCAGATTGTGTTTTGGTGGTAGTCCTTTAATTGGCGATCACCCATTTGTTTAGAAGGAGGAATCCCTTTTACCAATCACAATCCGATCCGACAATGCTGCACATATACTGCAGATCAGACAAGCCACGGTTTGTCCCGGGATCAAAGGAGCAGCAACAATCTTCCTGAGCTGTGAAGGAATACAGGTGTGAAACGGCGATGGCCTCCACCCCAGACGCGATAGATATCTTGGAGTCGACATTCCTTTCTTGATTGGAGTGTTACTGCTTGACCTGTTCTGAAGAGGTCACACACTGCGAAGAGGTCTGCGCGAGGACAGAAAGCAACAAAAAATATATATATCACACGTGTGCGGATGAGAGAAACTGGGAGGAAAAGCAAGTAGCGGCCAGAAGTGGGTTAGGCCTTATGAACGTTTGTGTTTGTGGCTGATTCATCGTTGTTTACATGCTTGCATTCAACCCCAGATCCTTGACTTGACAATCTACGTGCCTGAAGCCAAACAGGGCGGGTGGACACCTGAGAGTCTCGTGTTCTTTCGAGAATAAGTTGGAAAAGCAACAACTTCAATGTGGTTCAAACTTGATCAACCGCCTCAGCCTCATACTCATTTAATTCACCTCAGATTCACCTTCAAAGTATGCTCATAATGAATCATGAATAAATCAGCTATCAGAAACCAAAGAACCTAAAGCTTTACAGGCCCTCTCACATAGAGGTTCAAAGAGATGATTGCAGCGTCCTCCGGAGTGAGAACTGTCGATTTCGCAGGAGCCGTTCTAGCCTCCAAGATGGCTCTATTTAAAAACCTATGGGTGTGTACGTATTTTAATAGGGAGACCCCCCAACCAGTGGGTAGACTGGTCGATGTCCCCCTCTTCCGTCGAACTGGGAATTTGATACACCCATCTTTTGAGGAAATCAGACCCACATTGGATTTCGAGACGAGGTAGGACTGAAATTAACACCACAAAATGTTGGAGTGAAAATTGTAGAAGTTCAACTCACCAAACACCGACACCATCCGGCGCCTACTTCAAAGGGTGACACCGTGATGCCCGACAGCCTGCACCTGACCGTCATCTTGACCACCACCTTTGGAAGGGTTGGTCTATGGTCTCGACCAAGACTTCCCTGAGATCCCCGAAGGGGTGGGCACCATGAAGCCCAACCAAAGACGCCTTTCTGCGCCGATGTTCACACCCGAAACGCCAAAACCGGGCACCTCCAGGACCTCCCGTGGACCTCGTGGACTTCGGCCCAGCTTCCGCGCCACAAAGTCTTTGCTCTGGTTCAGCGCGAAATTCAGACCTGGTGACCCGCCATGAGCGAAACAACAAGCAATGGCGGTATAGCCTCCATATACTGTACCTAATAGCGATAATATACTATATCCATCTATCCATCTATATAGCATACTGTACAGTACCTAATAGGGATGGCCTCCAGCCTACGAGGGCTTCCAACCTACTAGCGGCCACCAACCTAATAGCACTATATAGCCATATCTAGCCATATCCAGCCGATGGTTAACCTAGGTTTCTGACGCGCCAGCGGACGTAAATTCGTCGCCCTGCCCCTTGACTCCTAGACCGGAAAGCGATTGACCCAAAGGGTTTGGCGATGGACATGTGAATGGGCTTGTATAACGTACCGTGGTTTTAAGGGGTCAAGCTTTCACCCAGCTTCAGAAGGCTGTATCAGCTCCCACTGCTGAACATGCTTGCACTCTGTTGCCAGAAGGAGCCTGCATAGGTAGCTTGCACTTGTGCATTTGGCGGCCGAATGGTGGCATTGCTGGAGTTGCTGACATTCGTCACCTTGGACACCCGCAGGCAACTGTAACTAACTAACACAAACATGTTTTGAATAAACATCATACTTTACTCCAACTCACTAAGCGGGAAATTGCCAAAATGGCCCTGGCCAGGCGATTTTCTTCACTAGCTAAGAAGTGTTCTACCTCCGCTCTCGCTGATATGCTCAGCGATTGAACCCCGTAGCAAAGACGCCATTCTATAAGATCTGTTTATTACGATTGACTTCCAAGCCACTCTTTTGCGGGTCTGCAGCAAATAGCCATCCTCACAAGTGTCGATCCTCAAATTTCACCGCTGGACTCTGCACTCTTGGGAAGAGACAGGGTGCTTCGGACCGGCTGCTTCAACGCTATGCCCGAAGCAGGTATAAAATCTCGACATCCAACGGAGCATGAGTTCCGAACAATACCAGGAGAGCCGTTTTGAAAAACAGGGTACCAAATGATGGCAAGCGGCTCGGGGGATCCAAGGAACAAAAAGCACTTCTTCAGGTCTAAACACCGCCCTCAGGCCCGGATCGTGTTCTCTCAGGTCGTCCTTTTTCTCCAGTACTGAAGGGCACCATTCTCGAAAAACCCGGAAAGCGGTGCTGTCGGTGCTGTCGGTCAACCAGACAGTGGAGGTCGGTGCTCACATGGCGCATTCAACTTCCACCTAGAAGTCTGAGTCTGCACCTCTGAGCTTTGCAAGTCTGAGCTTGGGCAAAAATGGAAGTGGTAGATAAGTGGTAGTTGTTGTGGTCCAAGAAGATGGAACCTTTGCTGTACAGCCTTTACACTAAATGTCAAGATGTCCCGCTACCTTAGAAAATACATGAAAATACTGTTTGCCTTGCATCAGAGTCATCAGAGCACCAAAAAAAACACAGGGGCCTACAACATCAGCAGGCCGACCTTCTTCATCCTGTTCTGCCAATCCGATCACGTGTTGTGATCATACCGCAAACTCACAGGTTCAACGGTAAGGGATGCAAGAAACGAATTAAGTCACACCGAAACACAAAATCATATCCAACGGAGCCCACAAAATGTTCGATTCAATAACCATGCAGAATGTTGAATTGTGTTCCAATTCAGTGTCTAGAGTCCATTTTCCCGTCCGTGAACCAACAAAACACCCTTCTGGGCGCCCACATACATCAGTGGTTTCAAAGCCACCCCCCAGGGCCAAAGCCTGACACCGCTGTGACCCAATCGTTGGGATTTGCTTTTTGCATCGAATGAAAATCCGTCCCCTTGCCGATAGGGAAGATGTTGTTCGATAGGTTGCCGGGAAGAAAGAGAGCCTGTAAAACGAGCATATGGGAGTAGGACACCAGTTAATCGAAACCTTCTTCATTGTGCCTTAAGTCCGTTCTTCCCCTTGCCCCTCTGTGGCCCTCAGGAAAGCAGGAAACAAAGATTCCGCATTATTCTGCTAGTGTGACCCAAAAAATACGTCAGAAAGCAAAACATCGTGAGTCTGTTTCAAGCGATTTGCACTCTCTTCAAGATGCAGCTAAGCCTCGATAGGACTCTCTTTGAAGTCCAAATGAACCACCACAGCAGCAGCTGTCGACCCATAGTGTCTGGGTGATCTACGGTATCGTTTGAGCCATCTGCGGTATCGTTTGCTGCTGTTTCTTTCAATTTCTTAGGAAGGACAGCTTTAAGACTCAGCTTCGCACGCCAAAAGAGACCAAACCCCCTCAGGTCTCTCTGCGGTTTAACCTCGAAAAAGGGTAGAGATGAAAAGTATTTGATGGCCTTGACTGGAGAAGGTTGCTGACACTGAACATGGGCAGGACATTTTGATGAAGAGAACCTGAAGTCAGCAGCAAAATTGCCAGCAACATCTTCCCAATATAGGTCCGGCAGTCCCAGGAGGAGTATTTTCCAACTATATAACTGGCAGGATATGATACAATGTACTATATACTTGATGTTCACCCATTGTAGGATTCTGGTTGACGTTTCGGACCACTTCCGTATCTATCATTTTTGATTGGCACAAATGTCAACCCATCATCAAAAGCAGCCATTTCACATAATCATGTTCACCACAAACCGCGGCCAATGAAGGGCATCGCCATGGATCTCGCCGGTGGATTTTGGCGCGCTGTCCGACTTAAACAGATCTTCCCACGGTTGATGTCGACACCAAAAACCGGTCGAGCCCGCCGAACGGAGAGCGTAGATCCCAGGATCTGGGTGCTCCTGACAGAATCTGGGCCAGGAGAGCGACTTGGCTCCACCATCTGAGTTGAAAACCATCAACTTTTTCGAGATTTGTTGAAAATTCCATGTTAGTCGCTGATGATTTCCTCGGTGCTAAAATTAAGTCGCCTGTGGCGAGAAGGTCTTGGCCTGGATGCTTGGATCCTTTTGATCATTTTGTTGAATCGAACCATCGGCTCCAAGCGCATGCCGCGTGCCGTCCTTCAACAGCTGCAAGATCATCTGCCACGCATTCCCCCTCTCAAACGCAGAAGCCTCGAACGGTCCGTAACACACCCTACACTGATGCTGTGAGCAGACCATGAAAATGAATTTTGTCCCCATCAGCAAAGGCTCCGGACTCATAAAGACCCATCAGACGCACCCAACTCGAAGGAACCCAAAGAATATATCCCAGACACTCCATGTGTGGTATATATGCCTGCATTGACCCCTGACACCCCCCCCCACAATGTTAGGCAAAAAATATGACATACATGGAGTGTTTAGTTTGGGTGTATAATATTACTATAATATACTTCAAAGATCTGAACATTCATGAACATTCATGAACTCAGCCTGCTTCTGTGTCACGTTTGAGGATGTTTTCAGGTGTTCAGCTCTTTGGATTGAACGTGTGACAATAATTAAACTAGTATATAACTAGCAAACATCTCAAACCAGACTCAAACAATGGCCAGCTCAGACTCAAATCAGAAAAACATAATCTGCACTCCTGGCTCTTCAAAGTGACCTTTTGAATCCTTTTGATATCCCAGTTTGAGGTCACTTGGGCCTGTGAAAGGTCGCTTTAAGACTTAGATACCCCAACGAGGTCACGTTGATTAAACTGCCTGTCATTTGTTATGCTTGCAAACGTTGGCTTATGTCGGAATTTGTCGTTGGTATTGATTTGCTGTTGCTCACTGCTTCCAGATTGCATTTTAACTGAGCCTGTTTGGTCAGATCTTGTGAGATTATTTTGCCATAGTTCTTTACCTATGTGATCCTATGTGTTAAAATCGTGGCCATCATCATGTCTGCTTCTATTGCCTTGAACAAATCACCGCCCGGAAACAACTGCTTCTGTTGGAAGGACACCACCATTGTGTCAGGTCTTACATGACACGTGACACGTCGAACAAAAAAAAGGCACATGGGCTTCGGAAAGGGCCCACGGACGCCAATGGCATGCATGAATGGTGTTGTGGCTAGTGTGTCCCTGCCCCTGATGCCCTAGCTAGAAACGTTCGGCAGCAAAACCTACAGAAATGTCTATGTTCATCTATTGTCCCTACCCAACAGAGGTATTCCTGCAAGTGCTCTTGTGCAGAAATCGAATGAGTCTGGCTTCCGAAGGGCCAGCGCTCCCAGCGTCTTCTCCTCGAGGTTGCTGAAGTCCTGGACTCACGTGTAAAGGATGTCCAAAGGCGCCATCAACAACAAAAGGGGTGGTTTTTAGTCCCATTCAGTGAGTGGATAATGGGCAGCCCTATCCTCCAAGTTCGGCACCCCTTGGTGACTCCTGGTGAACATGGTTGTTTGTGTTTTAAGGCTCCACACCCGGTCCGCTCATCCCCTTAACTAGACCCTAAAAAGACCCTGGCCCTGGACTGACTAAGTCACCAAGCCATCCCGGTCGACCCAAGCCCACTTACGACCGCCCGCAGTAGCCTTACTATTTTTACCTTTTTTGCCCGCTCCCCCGTACTCAATTAAGTAGGCGCTCGCTTGATTAAGTAAGGGAGAGGTAGCTAGTACCTATTATTTAAGCTACTAGTATGGACGCAGGATAGCTAATCCCCTAATTATTTGTTTCCTAGATGTTAAGCGAAACATATAACTATAGCAATGGCCTCCAACATTATTGTCATTATTGTTATACCTTAGTGATAGCCATACCAGTCATAATTCATAATTGTCTGAAACTTAGCTCTGCACTTGGCTCTTCAACTCGGTTCTTGCACTCCTCCAAGGGCTTCGCACCAAAGATCCCGTGCAGAAAAAAGGACGCGAAACCCGCAGCTCCTGCAAGGCGAGCACTGCGAGCGCCTGCTGCCATTGGCCCTCCTGAGCTGACGCTGTTGGGAGTCGCGGCTTGTTGGGAGCTCCAACCCGAAGCGAATTCGATCAGATCGAGAAGAGATCCCGCTCTTTCGTCTCACCCATCACCCACTTGGATGGAGGCAGCCAACGATGTTCTCTATCATACAACTTGGACTGTGGACTCCCACTTAGGGAAGCTAAATGACATCACACCAGTTGTTGTGCTTTCTGAATCTAAAAGCCTCTCCTGGCGGCTGAGGCACCAATCACCATCGGGTGAGCGCGGATTTCTACAGAACCACCCTGGTTACCATTGGTGCCGAACCAAAGCACTGCAATCGCTGCCATGGCCCCTTGAGGGAAGGCCGTCCTTCTTGCAGGCATTCACTGCGGCATTCAGGCACATCTGATCTAGCTCCCTCAGTGAAATCTCCGATCGACAGTGAGATGAAATCTGGAAAATCCTTTGGGTATCAAGATGTGTCAACTTCGAATTGGACTCATCCCGCGCTTTCTGCAACACATCGGCGGTCCGTGGAATTCAACTCATCACCCGACCGTCCCGGCGCCGAACATCAGGATTCGAGGGGCCGGGCGCGACGCAAACGCTGCCCTCTGGGATTCGGCCTTTTGAACATCCACTTGAGGAGGTTTGGAAGGTCCAACGAATGAGACAAGTGAATGGGGTGAATACTGGGGTGAATATATGTGTCCAAATTACTGAGTAGGCTGCAAGTCGGCTTAATTATAGAGATTTGTTGGAATTGTTCCCACAACGAAAACACCGTGTGCACTGTGGGACTGGGACTCGCCCAAAAAATGGCACTGCGAAGAGAAGGTTCGCCCGCTGAAATCGTTCACCTGGCCTTTGAGGGTCACATCCCAAGACGGCTACAATCATCATTGAACAAATCCCATGAAGTTCAACTGCAAAACCGTCATAGGCAGCCTCGGGGCGTCCCGTTTCTCTCAACTACCAAAACTGCTTTCCGAGCAATACTAAATCCGGAGGCAACCCCTCTGAATGTGCACTCCTTCAACAGAAGCTGCTCAACTGGGAACTCCGGACAACTGAGCCTCCACAGCAAACTCCAGGAGTTGCAAGGCCTTCTGCCACTGCAAGCCCTGCGCGGAAGCCCTTCGACGTGACCATCGGATCCCATGAGCAGCCGGAGCCCGGGGCACACGCCCGGCCGAGTGCTAACCCGCCGCGGTGGTTCGCCACAGAAGATGTTCGTTTGCGGGCCAAAGTGTGACGGCCAAAAGAAGGGGGGGAGACTCATAGGCTCATAGGGACTCGGGACTTGAAGTGGAAAACAAGAAATCGGCAGTCGGGCCTCCTCCATGGCACCCATGGCCGTACTGTAGGTGATGACCTGTCAGCAGGGCATCAATTGCTTATGGATGAAGATCCTACAATAAGCAACTGGCATTGAAGTGGAGTCAACTCGGACAAGCAACATCTTGAAGTCAGATTTCACAAAACCTTCCCAGGCTTCATGGTTCCTTGAGTGCCTGAGATCAACCCACAGCTTTGTGACATGTTCACCATCTGCCCACTGTGGATATTCCTTCATCGACCAAGCTCGGACACAGCCGTTGGACTCTCCGCTTCGCAGCAAGCCGCGGCTAAAACGCTAGAACGCCCTCGCTTCGCTGGGTGGGTCCCCCGCATCCATGTCGATCTGGAGCTCATCCATGCCCTCAGTCGTTCGGACGAGGTGGACCGGCGATGCGTCGGGGGGGCAGGCGAAAGAGTGGCAGTGCTGGCAGAGACCAGTGGACCAAGCCTCTGGTCTTTTGTCGCGAAGCCTTTGGTCCTTGGATGTTCTTGGGTGTCCGAACCGTCGTGGATTCTGGTGGATCCTACGAGTCTCATTCGGTAGATGCCAAGTCAAAGCCTTGATCTGAGCTAAGTCAAAGCTCAGATACACCCCGAGTCACCAGCATGGAAGTGGAAAACCACCTATTTGTAAAGGAAAATGGTCATCTAATGATGGGGGCCATGTTCACATCCACTTCCATATTAAATTCTGGGAGGGTAGTTCATGCCTGGGACAAAATCCAGGGCCCGGTCAGACCATTGGTAGGTTGACCGACCATCTAGTAGTCCATTCTGTTAATGTTTGGTGGGTCAACCAGGGTCTGCCGGTGTTCACCCATTGCTACGAGTATATATCTCAGCAAATATGTGTGTCATTGCGCAGCCAAGTGCCAAGCTAAATTATGGCAATGTCACGTGAGCGATGGAACATATTCACGTTAAGTCTTAACGGTTTTGGCAGTTTCATGATCGTTTTGGCTAGTTTCGGCCACACATTGGCAACATTGTATTTTAATTCATGTGTTCATGTATATAAGTTAATCTGTTCATGTTGTTTCAAGTTCAGATAGTTTCGGCAACGCGTGAACGACAGTTTAAGTACATTTCACAACAGCTAAAGCAAAATAGAAGAAAGTGACTAGCCGACCAGGGTAGCAATGAGGGTTCAGGAGTAAGTGACTTGGCAGCCTTCGCTTCAGGGGACGCAAACGATAAACGCAATCACGCAGAAAAAACACGGGTGGGCGTGCAAAAAACATGATGATGCAAACGAAAACACACATTCACATGAAAAAACACAAATGGGCATGAAAAAAATGATGATGAAAACGAACACGAAATGAACAAATAAATGTTTTGTCCACCCCCAGTCTGTGGCTGTAAGATTCTCTTAACGTTAAGATCCGTTATCACATGGGCCTTCCTTACCTCGTTCTCCAATCTATCATAATTTTGGGGGTGCGATCTCGTTCTCCAATCCTGTATCGGTTTTGGTGCAATGGATACCCATCTCGTTCTCGAGAGGTGTTCCTACCTCGTTTCACCAGCTAAACATGTCATTAACTAAACCATTTCCAACAAATGGCGTGATTGATGCCCATCTCGTTCTCGGGGTGTTCCTACCTCCCACTAATCTTCACTGCCGCAAATAAAAGCCGTTGCTCACGTCAGAAACTGAGTGTGGTTTGGTTCCTTTTTCTCGAAGATTCAGCTCGTCTTAGCCCATATAAATTGCTTCGACCCGGGACCCCCAGGAACAGCAAGTAACAACGTCGTCAAGCGAAACTACAAGGGTCCGGGAGCATCTGGGGTGCTACCAATCGTTCCAAAATCTTTCTGAGGTGTGTCAGGTTTTCGTGGAACACATCCATTTGTGGAACATCAACAAACCCGCGGGTTCGGGGCGCCCGATAAGCGGCTGAGGCTCCAGCCCTGAGGAGCTCCAGCACCAAGTGCCACTGCAGACCCTCCGCGCGAGTTTCGGGGTGACATGTGAAGCACCAGGTCTTACTGTGAGTCCCCCAAGGCTGGGTAGATCAGGAAGCCTGGTTTTAATCTATTTTAATCTGGACTGTAAAAAGTAATTAGGGTAACTGGGACCTAGTCGCTGGGAATGCAAGCATACACCCGTTCCTTTATACTGTGGTTGCTCGTGAAACAAAGAGTTTGTGAAACGAACACGGCAACAACGGTTTCCTAAAAAAGTAGATCGCTCATCCATCTGATGTTTGGGCCGGGTGAGACATTAAAAAAATATTTAACGTATCAGTTAAAAATATTCCACACGCGCCAATAAAAATAACAACTACCGACTCAAAAAAATATTCCAATTAGCAGTAGCAGTAAGAGTAGCAATAGTACTATTAATAGCAGCAGTATCGTAGTGGTAGTCGTAGTCGCAGTCCCGGTAGTCGTAGTCGTAGTCGTAGTCGCAGTCGCAGCAGTAGTAGTAGTAGCAGTAGTAGTAGGTAGTAGTAGTAGTAGTAGTAGCAGTAGTAGGTAGTGGTAGTAGTAGTAGTAGTAGTAGTCGGAGTCGGAGTCGGAGTCGGAGTAGTAGTAGTAGTAGTAGTCGTCGTCGTCGTCGTAGTAATAGTAATAGTAGAAGTAGTAGTAGGGGTAGGACTAGGAGTAGTAGCAGTATAGTAGTAGTAGTAGTAGTAGCAGCAGCAGCAGCAGTAGTAGTAGTAGGGTGTTGTTGTTGTTTTTGTTGTTGTGGTTCTGGCTGTAGCAGTACTTGTAGGAGTAGGCGTAGAAAGAAGTAGGAGTCGGAATAGTAGTGGTGGTAGTAGTGGTAGTGATAGCAGTAGCAACAGCAATGAGTGAAGTAGAAGTAGTGGCCAGGTGAGGGTCCAGGTTAGGTTAGGGTCGCTTCGATTGGCTTTAAGGTTTATGTTGCACTCCCTTCGTCTAGGTCAGGTCAGAGTTAGGTTAGGACAGCTTAGCGGTTAGTTTGGGGGTCTGCAATGCATGTCTTGTATGTTGCTCCCTTCGTCTGGGTTAGGTCGAGTTAGGTTGGGACAGCTTAGCGGTTAGTTTGGGGGTCTGCAATGCATGTAGTGTATGTTGCGTACGGAACATACTTTCGCAAATGAGGTGCGGGGCGTACTTTTTAGAACGCGGGCGGAGGTTTGCGTAGGAGTCCAGCAGCCGCTAGGCAACGAAAGAAATGGATGTGACAACGAAAAACAACAAATAAAACAAATATCGAATCCACGAAGGACCAGAGGACCAAGGGACTAGCAGACCAGTGGACCAGCGGACTGCAGGGGACCAGCGGACCAGAGGACCAGCGGACCAGGGGACTAGCGGACCAGAGGACCGGCCACCTACACGACTGGGAATTCCAATGGATTTCATCGCACAACGAATATGTTTTTATTGATTCAGTAAATATATCTTGTTTGATTCGGTAAATAGTTTTTTTTGATGCGATAAATATGTTTTTCTTGATACCTATGCCATGTTTGGGTCAGTGTGACTAGCTCCCAAGTCTTGACTTTGACTCTACAAACTGTGTGGTTTTCTGTTGTCCCCATCCCCACCCCAACGATGAACAAACCCGCTTTTTCGTCCTTCACGGAGCTCGCTCCGCATCTCCGCAGGCACCATGACCCGTGTCCTTAAGATCTCACGTCTCAAGTCTGGGAACCGTGCGGAATCCTCGAACGGACTCGCTTGGAATCTCACCGGCCTGCCCACAAACACTCGCTGCCGCATTGTAGACCGCGACGTCAGTGCAGGCGCGCGAGGGCCTCAGAGCGTGCGAACGACGTGAACGGTGGGATGGGTACAGAAATAGAGCGAATGGTAGCTGCCAATGGAATCTGTGGAGGAAACACACATATTGAAAGCTAGAGGTTTGGATCTCCCTATGAAGGAGTCTCACAAGAACCAAAAATGCTTCCCACTCTCATGTCACATGGCTCCATCCGAGTGCAGAATTCCCACATGATATCAGACCATCGACCTCCAGGAACTTCTGGGATGGCAAAACATATTCTGGGATATTCTGGGTGTGTACTGCAATAGGGAGACCCCTCAACGACCTCTTGGAAAATACAGGCAGACTAACCATTGGTTGGGTCCCCCAATTAAAATAAAAAGCCATGGCCCATATGGAAACATCCGAACCAGGTCGGGTCGGATCAGGGCTTCCCAGCAGTTGCATCAGCAGCAACATCGCCAGCTCCCAGCGACCTGGCCGGTTTCGTGTCGCGTTCGGTTGGATCTGTGGCCAAACGAAGGGCCGAACAAAGGGGTTATATAACGGTTAACACTGCCAAGTTAGGAGTGGGTCAAAGACGGGACTTCACCACCAAAGCACCAAGCTATAGCTCCTGGGGCCATCCAGCGCTTGTCTGAAGAGAGGGTGCGTACGTTGGACATCTTGAGGTGCGTCAAAACTGGGAGACCCTGGTTGACCACCCACCAACAATGAACAGATTCTTCAAAATGGGATGTTAAGTTAAGCTACCAATAGTTTGGTGGGGGAAGTCTTTACTCACAGCCATATCCCCTACGTTCACATCACATATTGAGCTTTAACTACTATTCACGGAGCCACGAGGCTGGATATAAGCAAGATTGAGGGGCAATTGATGTCTTCCAGATGACCCCGCCCAAGCCTTTCATGTGATTAGAACAAAGAAAGAACTTTGGCTATCAATGAACAACAAAGTTCCCTCCCAATTGGACAGTTGGACTTGCATGTGGATTGACACCGGCCCCAAAAGCAGTTCTGTTTGCTTGACTTCACAGCGCCACTCCGTGCCAGGCATGTAAATGAATCAACGTCATGGCTTCCTTCAGACCACTTCTCACCTTCTCCAGTCGAGCCACCGCTTCCGACTCACCGGCCGACTCCCCGGCCCAAACCCCGCGCCCCCCCCACCGGCCAAGCTCGCCAGCAACGAGCTCGTGGTGACCACGTTGGGCACCACACGGCATCGCAGCATCTCATCCTTTCCGGTGTCGTGTACATCGCGGCGTCCAAAACCGCGGTCGTAGAGGGGTCGTCCCTTCTTCCGTCTTTCAGAGGTCTCCTTGTTTTAATTCACGCCCAGGCCTTTGCGGGATGTTGGTTAGCGGTCCGGTGAACCCAAAAAAATCAGATCCCGCCCAGTCCGTCTGTTCAAGGCTCCCTAGCTACTGAGGTGAGGCCCAAAATCTGGAAAAGGGTCGCTCCTGAAAAAGGGTCTGGAGATTCATGCGATAGGAGCCCCTTTTCAGGTGACTTTCCAGATATGTTTCTTTCAACATGGCAGGTCGGTGCCACTTACCATATATGTAATAGGTCAGCATTGTATATACATATTATTACATCTCATTAATGTGTGTATATCTATATATACATGATCATACTGTCAATTCTGTCGGGGTGCATGTCACATGTTCACCCAAGTCGATGATCCGACTCTCGGCCCAAAGCATGGGAAGGGCGGGTGGTTCGTTGCTTGAGCCATTTGCACCAGGAGGTGCTTTCGTTGAGCGTGGGACGCTGGTGGAGAAAAGGCAGCTACGTGCAGGAAGAGTGCAGGGCACCAGGATATCCTTTTGTTGATTGGATTGGACAGGGATCCATATACAATTTGGAATTGAGTTGTTTGCAGTGCAGTTTTGTTTTGAGAGCCCTCAACCGGAAGACTCCAATACCAGTTGCAAACCTTGGCGGTTTGTAATTGGTAGCGGAGCTACCTGGGCGATCAAACAGGGAGGACTTCGACAAGATCCATCGAGCTGTTGAAAGATGCCGGAAACAGCAGGATCAACGACCATCGATGTTGGAACCTCACCCAACAACCAGTTGGCTTCATTGATTCCTACATTTGATCCAGCAACCGACAGCGTAGAACCGTGGACACAAAAGATCGAGCTCCTCACACAGGTGTGGCCAGAAGGACGCCTTGCAGAATCATTTTGAATTGCAAGGGATCAGCATTCGCCAAACTCCAATTGAGACAGAAAGAACTCCTTGGAGGAACTCTCGAATGCATATCCAAGATTGTAGAAATAGTGGAGGCCAATTTGGCCAAGTGAATTTGGAGAGAAAGTTTGACATCGTTGAAAAGGCCCTCTTCCGCTGCAGTCAGAAGGTTGATGAATCTTCGGATTCCTACCTGGCAAGAGCAGAAGTGGTGTGGGCCGAATTGTTGATGAAGAAGGTAAACATGACGGAGGTACAAGCATACATCACCCTCCGTGGCAGCAGACTGTCGATGGAGGACAAGAAAAGAGTCCTCGTTGAAGCAGGAGCTGAGCGAGAAGATAGTGAACTGGAAATGAAACGGGTGTCAGCAGCCATTAGGATGCTTGGGTCAACCTTTTTTCAAGAATACACTTCTGGAAAACGGGATAAGAGCCTTCGCACCTATGACCATATGGCCTTTGGAGCAATTGAAGAAACAGAAGAACCAGGTGAAGATGCTCCGTGGGAATGTGATGATCCCATGGATGAAGAAACCATAGAGGCTTTAGCTGCCGAAGATGATGACGCTTCGCTTGTACTCCAGTTTGAAAATGCCATCCTGGACACCGTGCAGGAAGACAAGGACCTCGCCACCTTCTTTGTGAGCTATCAGGACGCACGTCGCCGTTTGCAGGAGAAGTCCAAATTCCGTGGTTTTTGGCCCCCAAGACCTTTCAAAGGGGGAAAGAAAGGGAAAGGAAAAGGGTTCAAGGGCAGATCCAAAGGTTTGGCTCAACGCATCGCCAACTCCTCGTGCCGCCTTTGTGGACAGCCGGGTCATTGGAAGGCAGAATGCCCTACCCGTCAAAACTCGACCAGCAATGATTCGACCCAGATTCCGACTTCTGTGGTGGTGAACTTGGAATCATGCCTTCAGGAAATCCCCACAGCCAACGCAGAAACTCAGGAGTTCGCCGAAGAAGCAAGTTTTGCTGTGTACCAAATGCCCAACCATCAATTTCGAGACAAACTGAAAACGAAACTGTGGCAACTGCTTGAACTAAGGAAGAAGTCAGTCGAGCCAGCACTTGATCGACACCTGATTTTGAAGAAAGCAACCCGCGAACCTGTCATGGAGTGGTCAGCAACCGAAGACCGAAGAAACCACATGCTTTGCATCGGTAGGACCCGTGGGTGTAGTAGATTTGGGAGCTTCTCAAACGGTCATAGGCGATCAACAAGTCCCCGAATTGCTGCAGAGCATCCCCCAAGAAGTGAAAGACCAAATCCGGAAAACAACATGTCATTTGGTTTTCCGTTTCGGAAATCATCAAACGCTGACCAGCAAGACAGCTTTGATTTTTCCAGTGCACAAAACATGGTTCAGGATTGCGATCGTGCCCGGCCAAACTCCATTCTTACTTTCGAGTGCCTTCTTAAGAACCATCCAAGCAGTCATAGACACTGAGCAAGGCACCCTATGGAGTAAGTACCTTGGAAGGTTCTTGCAGACCACACGATCACCATCGAATCTGATGTTACTGGACATCAACGAATTGTGGCAAGAGGACGTGTCGCATGTCCAAGACATAGTGCCCGAGCAGAGGCCGGAAATGGCCATTCGACCAAAGACTGAGAACCAATCAGGTCAAAAGATGCCAAGTGCCTCCGACACGTCGTTCGTGAAAACAGAAGAGTGTTTTCCCAAATCGTCGATGCCAGAGTCGATTCGAGTCAAGCCCAACTATATCGATAGAGATAATACCCACCAAAGTCAGATTGCAGGAAATGTCAGTCGCCTCATTCAGCATTTCGATTCTCAAGCCCGGCCGAACACCGATTTGTGGAAGCCTAGTGAACATGTCCAGCCTGAGCCAGAAGCTCGCTGCATTCCAAGATCTAGTCAAGAAAGAACAAGACAAGGACAGCCTTCACGAAGTGGATCAGCTTTCGTTGGACGACCTCAAGGGAATGAAGATCACATTCAGAAAAGCCAAACTGGGTCAACCATACGAGGAAGCTTTCCACGACCAGAAATGGACCAAGTGGTTCGTGCAGACCTACGAGAGCAGCCAAAAGCTGGAACGTGTAAAGTTCCTCCGCTATGTGAACCTGAAAGTGTCCGAAGGATCAACCTCGATGCCAACCAGCAGCCGGACAACGACCAAGGACAACCCGTACCTGCGCCGTTCTGCTCAGGTGCCTCAGAGCTCCCAAATGGCAATGCCGGTGGGATCGGAACCTTGGGACATGGAAGAACACCGCATCGAAGAGATCTTGGCACATCAGGAGCAGCAGGACTTCCGGATGAGCAGGATCGAGTCGGCCTTGACTCAAATCATTCATCACCTCGAACCGAAGCCAGAGGTCCAACAAGCCCCGATTCAACCATGGACAATGGTCAAGGAGGAGCCCAACTGAGCCCGGGGAAGATCGAGTCAATGTGTAATCAAGCTGAGGCACACTGCTTTCTTGGAGATCCCAAATATGATTTTGATTTCCAAAAGGACAACCAGCCAATATATTCCCGCATGTGTTCGAAGTATCTTAAACAATACCAAGAGGAGTTCAATAAGATTGCACAAGTCATCAAGCCAAGGACAAACAAAGTGTTTCTATTTGAAGTAATGTGCTCCGAAGAAAGTGAACTCACTCGCCAAAGCCTCCAACAGGGACTCGCGGCCAAACGATTTGGCTTTTCGGAAGGAGATTTGAGCACAACAGTAGGGCGCAGAAATTTGTTCTGCCACCTTGCCCGTGATCAGCCAGAGAACCTGTGGATCAGTCCAACATGTGGACCATGGTGTCAATGGTCCCATCTCAATATGAGCAAGAGCGCTGAGCTTCTCAGGAGTGTTTTCGTCCAATTCGAGAAAGCACGAAGTCCAGCACACTTTTGACCTTTGCAGTGTCGGCAATCTCCGAGAACCCGTCACCCAGAAACCCATTCGGAAGAGACTCACCGTGTGCACAACATCCAAAGAACTTCATTGGAATTTACACCAGAGAACATGCAAAACTGATCACCAACATTTTCAAATAGCAGGGTCAACCAAACTCGAGGGGATTAGCATGCCAGTCTCGCAGTACACAGAATTGTACCCCAAGAAGTTTGCCAGACAGATCATTCAATGCCTTCGGAAAGAAAAGACGGGACCATGGGGAATTTTGAGAGCCGAAGAGGAAAATCCTCATCCATCCAAGCGTCGCAGGTTAGATCAGAAAACGAGCATGTCCAAGGCTCTCTTGCTTGCTAACCCGACATGGGAAGAAGTCATGAAAGCCGCCGATGAGGACGCCCCTAGGGTAGGGTTGAAGATAGTAACTGAAGGAGCTCTCATAGAAGCCGTTCGATTGAAATGTCCCGACCAAATTATCAACCACCTTGTTCTTTGCCGAGGCATGGATAGAATGGTAGGACCAAATGTCAGGATAGCAGAGGGAGTCGCCCCGATCCGAAGGTTCGCCTGCATCCGTAGAAGATTCGAAGAATGACCATACTTGCACGATCAAGACTGTCGGAAGACACAGGTTCAACGTCTCAAAAGAGAAGCAGTCTTAGAGAAGAAGCAACATACCCTAGGCCCAAGAAAGTGCTCAGAAGCTCTGAAGAAGAACCTGAAGTCTCCCAGACCGACCTGGAAAAGACAGGACCGCACAGTCTCCAACATGGTCCGTCACAGAGCCTTGAAAGCCGTCAAGAAAACGCACTTCCAGAAATATCCAAAGAAGTAGGTGCCGAACAAAGACAAATCATAGATTTGATAGCAGACAAACATGGTCCCAAAATATTGGCACTGCCTACGGAAGAAAGGGCTTGGTTGCTAAAGGTACATAAGAACATGGGACATCCAAATCCAAAGAAACTCAAAACCTTTTGTCAGCAAATGGAACGCCGTCCTGAAATGATTGAAGCCATCGATGATCGACCTGAAGTGTTCGACATGCATAGAATCTCGCGGTCCCGAACTTGCCAAACCGAGCTCGATACACACTAATTTGGAATTTGGAGATGTAGTCAGCATGGACGGAGTGAAATGGACCAACCAAAAGGGTCAACAGTTCTTTTTCTATCACTTTATAGACCAGGGAACCACATTCCATACGGCAACAACGTCCAAAAGCCATTCGACGTCAGATGCTATCAAAGCCCTGGTAAGTGGATGGATCAATTGGGGAGGGCCTCCAGGTTTGCTAGTGGTAGACTCAGGGACAGAATTTGGAACGGAACAGTTCCATAGTTTCTTGCAGGAACACGACATCAAACTCCGGATGATAGCTCCAGAAGCTCACTGGCAGAATGCAAGAATCGAGCGTCATGGAGGCATTCTCCAGTCGATTCTAGACAAGATGGACAAAGAAAAGCCAATCGAACCTGTGGAAGACCTTGATATTGCACTGTCGTTTGCTACACAAACTAAGAACAGATGGTCAAGGTATAAAGGATATCCACCAGAACTACTAGTGTTCGGTAAGCTCAGTAAAAGTCCAGGCTCAGTGACCAGCGAAGATTCACAGGCTTCTCAGGAACTGGCTCTTCAAGACTCATCCGAAGGTCAGCAGTTTCGAGAAAGGCTTGCCACACGGGAAAGAGCCCGTCGAGCATTTTGTGAATCTGACAAACTCCAAGCACTTCGCAGGGCTGTGCACCAGAAGACACGACCCCAAAGAACCGTCTATCATCCCGGGGACTGGATTATGGCGTGGCGCAAAGAAAATCATTGGTTCGGTCCGTTGAAAGTCATCCTTCAAGAAGATAAAAATGTCATCTGGGCAGTGTTAGGAAACAATCTCTTCAGAATAGCACCAGAGCATGCAAGACCATTGTCAGCAGTAGAAGAAGTCAAACTTACCAAAAGCATCGACGACATAGACATTCAACAAGAGTTGACCAAACTCAGATCAGGAAATACTCGATTCGTCGACATCCCACAAGATCCGTTGATGCCCCTCCAAATCAAGGGGTGACGAGTAGGGAAAACCAACAAACAGAAAGGTCTGAAGATAATCAACCCGATAATGAACCAGGAATATCTTTGGGCAGCTCAGAAAATCCCGCAAGTGGTACAGAGTACACTCCCACAGAACCGCCAGAAATACAGGAAGAGGGACGATCCATGCCAGAAATGCCAGCGCCAGAAAACGTCCCAGTGCCAGTGGACGAAGATGATGACCTCTTTTGCGAAGCCTGCACTTTGACCGAAGACCAAGTTTGGAGATTCGAAGTCAACTTGGACCTCAAAGATATTGACATGCTAAGAAACGACCCCTATCAGAACAAGCTGCTTTCATTGTATCAGCTTCAAAGAAACAGAAAACAGAAGTAAAGATGTCGACGTTAACGCAGGAAGAACGTAAGCAAAAGAGAAAGAAATCCAAAGCTGGCTGGATACTAGAACAGTCTGTAAAATCCTCAGGAAGAATTCCAGAAAGCAGCATCCTACGATGCCGTTGGATTTTAACATGGAAGGATGCAGAGAACAACACTCACCTTGGAGTCGAAGGACGCCAGTCAACAAACAGAAAAGCTAAGGCTCGCTTAGTTAATCTTAGGATACCAAGATCCGGAGCTAAGCAATCTCGAGAGAGACAGTCCGACCCTTTCCAAGCTGTCCAGAAATTTGGTATTGCAGTTATGTGTGTCCAACAAATGGGAAATTGGAAGTTTTGACATCAAAACCGCATTTTTGCGGGGACGTGCTGACTCCCGTATCCTTGGACTTGAACCACCACCAGAAATGAGAACAAAGCTAGGACTCCAACCACAAGAAGTGTGTCGACTCCTGAAGGGAGCATATGGCTTGGTCAATGCACCATTGTTGTGGTTTAAGGAGCTTACCAAGGCCGTAAATGACCTAGGACTCACAGCTGCACCATTCGACCCATGTTGCTTCATCCTCTCCAACGAGCAAGGACAGGCCAGAGGTTTCATCGGCATACATGTTGATGATGGACTGTTCGCCGGTGACGAGTTCTTTCACAAACAGATTAGCAAACTCGAAAGCCAGTTTCCTTTTGGAAGCAGAAAGAAGAAAGATTTTGTGTTCACTGGTCTTCAAATCCACCAACAGGAAGATTTCTCCATCACAGTAGACCAGACACAATATGTGAAAGACATCAACCCGATTCATATTGACAAAGAAAGAAAGAACCATCCTGAAGAACCCATAGACGAAACCGAAAGACAAGCCTTTCGTGGTCTCATAGGAAGCCTTCAGTATGCATCAGTGAATACCAGACCTGACCTTGGAAGCCGACTAAGTCTCTTGCAGGGCCGAATCAACAATGGCCAAATTCAAGACCTCATAGAAGGGAACAGGTTGCTTCATGATGCTAAAGTGAACTCCAACGTAAAATGTCGGTATCAATATATCCCAAAAGAGGAAGTCAGACTAGTAGCCTTCTCAGACGCATCATTTGCTTCAGAAAAGAATCACTCATCTCATCAAGGGTTAATGATCCTCACCGCCCATAAGCGAATAGGAGAAAACAAGCAAAGTGTAGTGAATCCCATCATGTGGTCTTCAAAGAAAATCCAAAAGGTGGCAGTCAGCACCTTGTCCGCAGAAGCAATGGCACTAGCAGGAGCGATGGACCTCCTCGCATGGTGCAGGTTGTACTGGAGTTGGCTCATGAACCAGAACTGCCAATGGAGACTAGGGGACAAAACACTAGCGAAGTTGCCTCCAGCATTTTCGGCCTTCAAAGACGAACCAGAACTCCTGGATCCAAATGAATCACTAAGTGAAAATTTGACAAGACTTCAGGAAATCGGAAAAGAAGATGCTATAGTCGCAACAGACTGTAAAAGTTTGTTTGATCTTGTCAGTAGAACTGCACCACCAGCATGTCAGGAATTCAGAACACTTCTCCGGGCCAAATTGATAAAAGAGCATATGGCAACAGGAGTACAAGCAAGGTGGGTTCCTTCCAGCGCACAAGTTGCAGATTGTCTTACCAAGGTGATGGACAACTCGACCCTTCGAGAATTGATGTGTATAGGACGCTACCAGTTAAGTGATGAAAAGGAAATCCTGAAAAATCGTTCCGATAAGAAAGCTCGATTGCAATGGTTCAAAAGCCATCAAGGCCAACCTGAGGTGAACCACCAAGGATGAGAGAAAAGCCAAGACGTCTCCATCCACAATGCCCAGTTCGCCATCCCAAGTGCCAATTCGCAGCACCTGACGCCTCCAAACGAGGATTTGGAGTTCAGAGAATCTGGGAAAAGGGGAATCAATGATCATAATCATTGCAGCACCTTGATTCAAAATTTTTTTGGGTACCTAGAATTAAGAAAGTCTAGTTGGGGTTTCAGCTCGAGGAACATGTTTGACAAACAGAAAATACAGGGAATGTCAATTCTGTCGGGGTGCATGTCACATGTTCACCCAAGTCAATGATCCGACTCTCGGCCCAAAGCATGGGAAGGGCGGGTGGTTCGTTGCTTGAGCCATTTGCACCAGGAGGTGCTTTCGTTGAGCGTGGGACGCTGGTGGAGAAAAGGCAGCTACGTGCAGGAAGAGTGCAGGGCACCAGGATATCCTTTTGTTGATTGGATTGGACAGGAATCCATATACAATTTGGAATTGAGTTGTTTGCATTGCAGTTTTGTTTTGAGAGCCCTCAACCGGAAGACACCAATACCAGTTGCAAACCTTGGCGGTTTGTAATCATACATGTATATATATATAGACACCTAATTACTAATATATCTATATTCATCCTATTTCGTGGTACACGACCGGGGGTGGGACCCCTTCCCATAAGTCAACCAAGCAAGGGTCAAAGGCCAACCTGGTGACCTGCCCTGAATGGATTGTTTGGCATGGTTTGACAAGCCTTGTTAAACTAACAAAATTAAAGCCAGAAACATGAACCACCTGGAATTGAATTCCACTGAGACACAAACCGATGGACTCTGTTCCACATGTGGAGTTCTTTGTTCTCCGTCCACTGAGCGCTCCCAACCAGGAAATCCAAGGCTTTGAGCCACTGCTGGCCCTTCTCACAGGCGCTGATGGCCGCACTGTACGCCACCACCTGCGCGGGTACCAACCGGCTGCTGGACTTAGAGGATCTACAATTCTCACCAGTTTTGAGATGTTTTGACTGTTGACGTTCAATCTCACGGAAATAAAGCTTAGTTGTGATTTTGGAGGAGCAGGAGAAGCTCAAAACTACACCCGCAGACTGACATCAACAAGACATGAAGCCCATTATAGCCTATTATATAGGTTTAATATGGTTTGATCATAAACAAGACCAACTACAAGACCAACAACCCCCAACAGGTGTCACATGAGTTCAAACGTTGCATATTCAAGAAAGGAACAGAACATTTTCACGAGGTCCTTGGCGTGGTTTGTTGTGTCTGACTTGGTCCCCGCGCGTTGCCCCTCACCAGGCTCAGCTGCATCTCCTGGCGCGGAACCCACCATGCCGAATGCGGGATGCCAGATGCCTTTCTAGCCATTTGTGGAATGTTGTTGCATGTCCCCTTTGCCGCGGTTTCTCAAGAAACATCAGAGAAAAGCCCTCGCTTGATCCAAATTGTTCTAGTAGACAGTGCCTTTGCAGTGTTCTATGTCAAGCGTGGATTTGGCACAGCTGCTGACGTTGGGTGGTTGAAGAGGGGGCTTACTGTAAGTATTGCACTGAGTTTCTAGGATTGGATAGGAGCTGCTCATACAAAAGACATCATCCAAATTTGATAGTTGGATGTCGTCTTATTGTTAGACATTGTCTGTATTCATACAAAGGACACATCCTTTGAGCTTGTTGGGTTCTGCGAAACTTGTCTTCACGGGAATGGATGACGTCTGGCATGATGGATTCTGAGGGCAAATAAATAGAAGGACCAGCTGACCAGCTTGATGAGTTCTGCAATCAACTAGCTAAAGCCAGTTGATCATAGAATCATAGAATGGGAACCAAGTATGGAACTATATAGATAGAACCAAATCGATACTGAAACTGATGGACAAAAAGACATATGAATTATCAAATGAATTATAACAACATGTTTCCATCAATGTTTGGTTTCCAGCTGGAAGACCTGATGATACCTGGGAGCTTTAGTATCACATGCCCGAACCAAGCTTTCAAACACTGCACGAACTTCAATGATTCTCAGGCAAAAGAATCCGTGCCGCGTCCGAAACGCTTGGACGAAACGCTTGTGGACGCCTCAAAGACCTGTAAGGCCATCTGCCACTGAGACGATGAAGAGCCTCAACTTGTATCCGTCAATCCCAGTGTATCGGTCAACATCTGAAGACTGGTCATCCCACACACCGTCTGAAGCGGCAAACACTGGTTGTTTGGACCGAAAACCCCTGGTGTGGACAAAGTCCATCCAAATCCATACTCAATTGGATGGGGGTCCAGCATTCTCTCGTTTGGGGCCCAAATACCCCAAATCAGCTGCTTTGATCTATGCATACCTATACCAACAAGCTCTAACAGGTCTCCTCCAACAAAACAAAGAGGCCTCCAAACAGTTTGCTGCTATGGCTTTTCTCCCGAAAACCACTGGCACTTGGTCCCACTCGGGCTCAAGGCCACGAGGGTTGTCCCAAGGGAACCCGGGATCCAGAACGTGTTAGAACGATGCTGCCAATCTTGAGCTGACACTGTAATGTCAAGGTATCAATTCAACAACGAATGGATGAATCATGATGATCATGAATCATGACTATGATATGGTGAACCCTCGTTTATATAATATTCAAAACGGCATCTTCTACTTAAAATATCTTGAAATTAACTCCAGAATAGCTTCTATCTTTGTGGTATTGACTATAATAATAAACCCCAAAAAGTACCTTTTTGGGGACCAGTATTGAAGATTGTGGGGGAACTTCCCCTTTGAAAGCCCTTCCTTCCCTCCAACCTATCCATCACGTGCAACCATGTGCAACGTGCATCGCATCATCCCAGGTGCAAACACTGCTCAACGCGGAGTAGACGATGACATTCGTCACCACCTGCGAAGCAGCAAAAACAAGAGGAAACCAAGCAAACAGCTGGTGGGTCAAACCCAGTCGAAAATTTTGGGTGAGCACCATGTAGAAGCATCATTATTGTGGCGTGTAAATGGATGTTCCATGATCATCAATGTTCATCCTCCAAATTGGTTCAAGACACTCAGCAGCAAGTGCCAAAGGGACTCCTATAAAGATAGAACCCTCTTCGTCGGGAACGAAGCGGTCGGTGGTCTTGAGATGCGATGGTCGGTCCAGGATGGTCCAGGTCAATAAGCCCTGGCAGCACGTGGCAGGCTGGGGATAGGAGCGAATCGCCCTGACTCGGCCACAGTACTGTCCGAGCCTGGACATAAAGGCTCCAGAATCTGGGGATCTCCAAAAAGACCCAAAAACTGCTATGAGGCTCAAACAGACTTCAACGGTGGAGCCGACAAAAAGTGCTCAAACCCTACGTTCTTTAAGAAAAGAAGTCAAGAACTCTTCTTCAGTTCTCTGGCAGTCCTTTTTCATGCTTTTCGGGGTCGCTGACTGACTGGAAGCACCAAGTTCGTGCAGCCCCGGCGGGGCCGGGGCTATTTCTCCTGTTGAATGTGTTGGACATCTGTTCTTCCATGTCCGCACCAAATGCCTGCCATGCTTTGTCTGTGACGTGACCCCTTCGGTGTGGCCAATTGCTATTCCGCATCAGTCACTTTCAAGAACTCAAAACAAGTCAGGTCCGGTCCAGTATGCACATATTCATATACTGTTGCGAATGTCACATGGGTCCCATTGGCAAAAGTAATGTGAATACTGGACTGGACCGGACTCGTTGTGAGTTGGAGACCCCCTTGGCCGCCTTTGAGATGGACATTTGCTCGAGCAAGGCCAAGGCATGTGGCCAATGGCCTTCCTGAAGCGGCCACTGATCGCTCACGCGACAAGAAACATTGGAAAAGGCCGGCAAACCCTGCAAGAACGAGGGCAAGAGTTGATCCAAAAAGTGAAGGATGCACAAGTTACGCATTACCAAAATACAAACCAAAAGATCAAAACGATCCAAATGTGTAAGTCCCAACAAGCAAAAGTCATCGACGTTCCATGAAAATAAAGCTATCAAATGGCCCACCGGAATCCCTCTTGCTACCGGCAGCGGGGGTTGATCTACAGGATTTTACGTATTAAAATCCTACTGCCAAGGTGCCTGTCTAGTTTTTCATTGGGTACCAAGGGTTTTCCTGGAAGTGGTTTTTAGAAATATCCTGTGTCCAATGTCCACCAGAGGGAGTCAGAGTACAGAGTACAGGAAAAAAATAGACGGGGTGCCCAACCACAAGCTTTAAAAATCCTGTGTACCAACCCTGCAACCACTTGCCACAGGGGCGCAAAGACTTAGTAAATCCTACGAGTACCGCAGAGCACGGATTTGCAAATTTAGCAGCAGCATTGGGCAATCTGCCATAGCATCCAGGAATCGTCTGGACAATCGGGGACATGGCCTGGTGGACAAACAATTGAAGGAGGAGAGGACTGATTGAGAGGGGCTTGCAGCCACAGTTCAGTGGAGGCAAATAGTTTTGTAAAATCCTGTTGCTTTGATTCGTAGGAGCCTTGAGGGGTATCGACGACAGAGGAGGGATCTGCAAATTTCGAGCCATTTATATAGCAACGCCGTTTCGCAGCTTTTTTTGCAAACATATCATATAACATTTGGACGCTTTTTGCTATGTTTCGGACTTTGCTTCGTGTTCCTCCAGGAACACCATTTCGAGTCTGAATTTGGCAGCAGGGGTAGTCTAGGGTAGTCTAGTAAAATCCTGCACAGCCAGGGGGATGGAGGTAGTTTAGTAAATTCCTGTTTCCTTCATGCCTTTCCAAGAGCCTAAACGCGGGATCTGCAAATGTCTACATTTCAAGCCATTTACGAATGCCTCGGCGCAGCGCTTCACACGCCAGCGCTGAAAGGATTGGGGCCTTGGTGGAATGGGGCATGTTGTAGAAAAGACCTGCGAGCTTCATTCCAAGAGGTTGTTTTGAACTGTGTTTAATTCTGAAATGGTGGGCTCAACCTACAGGATTTCAGTAGGGCGCAAGCAACGGGGGATCACCGGACCTATACGTCTGCATCTATGAGAAGCAATGGAGCAACAGTGGAGGTTTAGGCAACAAGACCTGGCATGGCAACACGATGAACGACTCGGATTCAAAAGGCCAACGCGGGCACAATACATTAGCAGTGTGAGCAAATGCACATAAATGCACTCCACATGAAGATCAGGTCCACAGGCCACATGTCAAGAACTCTTCCATGCTTAAGCCAGCTACAAATCTTGTTTGGCCGACAATGGAAGAAGTATCCATAAGTACCGTTTTCTTCTGCACAATCATTCCCTTTTTTTAAGGACCTGCCCAGCCTCCACCTGTTTGCCCCACCTGGTTCACCTGATGTCACGTCCAGTCCCCGCCTGACCGGCAATCGCCCCACCAAAGGCAATGACACTGCGGCGTAAGCCACGGTCCTGGCTTGGCGAAGTGTCCTTTTCGCCCGGGTGGTGTCAGACCGCCAATCATTCATAGGGATATCAATGGCAAGTCCAAGGACATACCTGTATAGATCCTTGCGAACGGTGAGGTTCTTACATGAAGAGATAGGGCAACCGACTCCAGGCATGTCCGGCCATGTCCCGCTCGGACCACGTGGCGGCGGTTTTGAGGGAACCGACTCCTGGAAGGTTCCACCCCCAAAGCAACGCAGAGTGCGAATTCCGAGCAAATACCATCATATACCTCCCTCCGTCTCCCTGGAACACATCACACCCCCGCTGGCGCTGGGAGGAACAGTGAAAGGGACCCCCCAAAAACGCAAGCCACACCTCCATCTCCTCAAGCAAAGACAAGCAAGTCATCCAAGCCTCATCAGGTGCAGGGCACATAGGGCGCGACTTGGGCCTGCCCCACGACACGAAGGGAGGTCCTTTTCGCCCTTTCAAAAGCGCGATCTTCCAACGGAGGGCTGCCGGGTGGGAGATCATCTGCGGTCAAAACCATAGAGGGGGTTGGTTTTGGGCGGCCCGAGGGGCTCCTATAGGACCCTCTCATGTGAGTTGTTTTTTTTAATCTGGGCATGTCTGTGGCTGGCCACCCAGCTCAGCCTTTCACTCAACTACTCAACTTCTTCGTTCGTGAGAACCAGGAAATTCAAAAACATGGGGCAGAGTCTCTCTCTTCGAAGACACGCCCATGAAACAGGTACGCAGTTTGCAGGTACTTGTAATGTATATGTATCTCTTGCTTCGCACTGTTTCTGAGGTACCGAGCCTACGTGAGGAAAATAGATCAAGGCTCAACAGGATTGGGGGGGGCTCCCAAAGCAGGGTACCGGTGCACCATGGTACACCTCGTCTTGTCTTGTTTTGACCATTTGACCCCTCCATGCGTCAAATGGACGGTGACTCGGCCGTGAAGCGGTGCGGTTCGCTGACAGGGACCTGGCGATTCCTGGCTTCGTGAAGCAAAGCGAAGACCTGGCCCCAGGGCTTGGTGGTCTACGTCTTCCTGTCGCCCGCGGAAATCCGCGGGGTCCCCCTTCGTCGAATTTCTCACCGAGAACATGCCAGACGGCGGGATCGGAGAATCTGGTCGAACCGCTTTGCCTCGACGGCCGTACTTACTCTTTATAATAACATGGAAGTGGAGTGAAACAGCCCTGTTTGTAGAGGATTTCATGGTCTTCCAAGGAGCCATGCCGCAATTTCCATGTCAACCCCGGGAGTGTAACCCCTCGAAGCCCCAAAACCCGACGATCCTGCTGTCCACTGCAGATCGCTTTTCGGCTCGAAGAAATGATCTCTCCAAGAGACTTGATCTCTGCCGCATGCAGTGACTGCACTCTCGAAAGACCTCGGTGTAAGTGCCAAAAGGCCATGGCAGCCATGAAGAACCGTCATCCCAAGGACACATTCATACTTTGGATATCTGTTTGGAAATCTGTGGATTCAACTCAACCTGGATGGGTTTCTCGAACGTTTGACATTGCAACCAAGTTCTCTCATCATTTTGGATACAGTCGTAAGTCCGAGTCAGTCTCCAGGTCTCCAAAATGAGTCTGTGCGCAAACAAACACACATCTAAACGCACTGAATTACCTTATATAAAGTTTCTATGGGTGTCTACCTTCAAATCCATCTACCAACACCAGCAAAATGATACATAACATTCTATAACTCCCTTCCCACCACCCATCAACACCCGTCAAATCCACCGCACTGCTTGTTTCAGGTTTTCATTGGGGTCCCCTGGCACCGCATCAGCCCTTGGACCCAAAGCCCTCAGCAGCTCCAAGGCAAAAGGTGACGCAGGGCCACAGGCGGCAATCGCTGCATTGCCTCGGCGAACGCGAACTGAGCTGCCCGGGAATGGACGGACGTGACTAGGAAAAACGAAGAGCCAGCAGCCCATAAACCCCAGGTCACTCTTCAGCCAAGACTTATTCTTGAGCCAGAATGAAGAACGCGCTTGGGTGGTTGATGCTAGTCTGGCTGATCCTAATTGAAGATTCTCACGGTGTCATTTCACAATTCACGTATTCCCTACGGCACACCAGCATCAATCACACATAAATGGAACACTGGAAAAGCCATTGTATTGAAGCCGATCCTTGATATTGTCAGTCCATGCTTGTGATATCACACCAAGAATTGGAATTTCCTTCCAAAAAGAACTATACTTTCAAATTTGTGTTTGCCTTGATGTACAATGATTCTTAACGGCCGGTTAGGAACAACCCCTTTTTCACATGAACCGTTTGGTTTTGGGACATGTCATGAACACAGGGGTGGGAAATCAATGCCTTCTTTCACAGTCCAGGACCCCGGGTCCGACGTAGCTCAAGACCCAAACAGCTTAGCCCTCTTCCAGGCATGAATCGAAGAAGACCCTCCCATCGACCATCCCTTCAGGGTGCCCTTCGAAGCCTCCGGAAAGTCGTGCATCGTCGTAGTCCAGACCAGCGCCCCAAACGGATGCACGGGCGCACGGCGTTACGCGTCTGTCACCGCACCCGCCCAACCGCCAGGGGTCGCGCAGTGAACAGCCCTCCATCTGAAGGGTGTGGAGACATTGGTCTCAAAAGTTACTGCACTTGTTTCTACTAGCTTCTTGTTACTACTAGTAAGGCACCTGTTACTAGTAGCGATGTACTTGTTGCTAGTATCAAGGGGTTCGTTGATCGGAAGAAACTGGGGTCGCTCATGTTCACTCAACCAGAGGCTGCAGTGGCCTCTCTGATTCGCGGAAGAGGATGCAGCAACAAGACTTCATGAACGTCTATACTGTCGCCATTGGTGTAGATCATTCGAACACTTGAATCGATTGGCTTTGTCTCAGAGGGAAACAGTCTTTAGGTCTTTGCCTGGTTGCTCGCCACTTTTGCCTGTCCAGTTGCAAGTGATGAGGTTGGGCAGCAACTCCTCTTCTTTCATCTGATCCAACAAGACGAGCGCACTCTGCCACTGCTGCCCCTGGCCGACCAAGGCGAAAGAGCAGAAAAAACTCAACTGGTTGGTGGTGAACTATATATGAACCATCTGTAAAGTCTATATGAACCATCTGTATTATTCCATCAACCTCAACGCGAAACTGTTAACCATCTGTAAAGTTTGAACATAGACATAGAGAAACCCATGAGAATTCTTGACTTGAAGCCACCAACCAGTCACAGACTTGATTTCCTCATGAAAGGAGAAGCAAGTAAGACCCTACCTCCGAGCCCCTTTTTCAGTGTTCAGCTTCACACGAAAAGTGGTTGATGATTTTTGTCAGGGCCCTCAGCAAGCCTTAGCAAGAACACGTTTTTGCTGAATGCGTCGCAAATTGTCGCAAATGAGCCCTTAAAGCAGTAAAGACCAAAAAAAGAAAGCACACCGTCGTTTCAAGGGCCAGGTCCGGTCCCGCTGCGTCCGGTCCCGATGCCCGGTGGATTCTGTCACTTACCGTGAGCTGGACCTATTCCCGCCTGGACAACCTGCCACTTGCTAAGAACCGAAGCATTCAAAGGTCTCTTTTTCACCGACAATGCCTTCTCAGCAGCAGTGATGCCAGCACCGAAGGCCATCACATCCAGCGAGAAGTGGTGACGCTCGGCGGCCTGTCGCTGCAGAACAGGAAGGAAATCGCGGTTGTCTCGGCAGCCAACCGGTCTGGGTTGTGTGTGTGTGTAACCCTTGGAATCATAGGGATCCTTTTGGATTTGTTCGGTTGGCTTTTTGTCAGAGCAGGGGGGCCCATGGACACTTGGATGGCATGGGCCAACGAAGACCCATCCAAGCTGTCGTGAAAACGTACCTGCTTGGTGCACCTGGGCGCATTATAAGACGCAGCTGGTGGCCACCCTTCTTCCTTTTGTAAAGTGCTAGTGAGCTCCGCAGACTTGCACGCCACGACGTCATCTTGTCGGTTCGTCGCTCGTCTTTTTCCCTTTGGGCCATACTTCCTCTTGAAGACCTCCAGGATCCAGTGGTTTATACGTGTACCCTTAGGAAATGGAACCCTAGGCCGGCGTGTGGCACCGCTTTCAGTTCAGTACACCCTATCCTAAGTGTGTTTGGCCTCGTGCCAACCCGGGATGAGCCCGCAGAGTGCCTCCCGTGGACCCGTCGAACGGGTGTACGTCGAACGTATCCATTGCCCGGATACAGAGCAGCTCGCAGCGAGCGTAGGTGGCCTAGGCCGTACGTACGATGATTTTTGTCTCATCTTTGGAATTCCAAGCTGGCTCATGCCTTTACGTGACCGCAGCGGTCAGAGGTGGCAGCCCTTGGGCAAGCCGTACGTGGTCGCAGCGACCGACGTCTGTTCAAGGTTCATTGGAACCTGTCGCGAGCTTAGTCCCCCTCCTCCCCCTTCCCTTCCCCTTTCTTTCTTTGCTTTCTGGGGTTTTCCTGAATGGAATACTCAGGATCTCCCCTCTCTTTCTTTGGTGTGTCCCTGGACGATTGTTCGTAGCTGGGAACACCTTCCTTTCTCTCCTCTCCCTCTCTCTCCCTCTCTCTTTCTTTCCTTCTCTCTTTCCTCTCTTTACCCTCTTCCTTGGGTGTCCCTGGATGCTTTCGTCATAGCTGGGAACCCTTTTCCTCTCTTCCTTTGGTGTGTCCCTGGACGCGTGTGTCGTAGCTGGGAACACCTTCTTCCCCTTTCCTTTCTTCTCTTTCTTTCTCTCTTCTCTCCCTACCCCTTCCTCCCGTCATGACCTTAGTGTGGGTTGCTACTAGGGGCTCCTGGCCTTACTACTTGGACGCTACTTTGGTGCTTCTAGGGGTTCCTGGCCTTACTACTAGGCGCAAGAGATGCCTCTCCTGGGGGAGGTGTGTGTGTGTGTGTAACCCTTGGAATCATAGGGATCCTTTTGGATTTGTTCGGTTGGCTTTTTGTCAGAGCAGGGGGCCCATGGACACTTGGATGGCATGGGCCAACGAAGACCCATCCAAGCTGTCGTGAAAACGTACCTGCTTGGTGCACCTGGGCGCATTATAAGACGCAGCTGGTGGCCACCCTTCTTCCTTTTGTAAAGTGCTAGTGAGCTCCGCAGACTTGCACGCCACGACGTCATCTTGTCGGTTCGTCGCTCGTCTTTTTTCCCTTTGGGCCATACTTCCTCTTGAAGACCTCCAGGATCCAGTGGTTTATACGTGTACCCTTAGGAAATGGAACCCTAGGCCGGCGTGTGGCACCGCTTTCAGTTCAGTACACCCTATCCTAAGTGTGTTTGGATTCATTATCATTGTTATTAAGTCCCTGCAACAAAAGAATATACCACAACACTCAGGGAAGCCATCAGCAAACAAACGCGCTCAAAGGGTGGTGCAACGAACTTTTCCGTGAACGTGTGTGTACGGATACATCCAAAGTTGGGATTTGCTACGAGTAGCTGGTTCGGAATGCTAATGGCCCATAGGCTGTGGCTGTGGAATCACAAACCTGAGAACAAAGTGAGCTGCATTCCAAATCCACCCAAATCTGGTATGACTGTTCATCTTCACCTTGCCTGGGCATGGAAATCCTACATGTTGGGCATTATGATGATATAAAGTAACGTGGCCGGTGAGGTACCAGTCCCAAAACTTTCAGAAGTCCACACTACCACCTACTGTAGTGAATCCTAGTGCTGTGTTCCTTCAGTTCTCCGGTTGTCTATATAACTGTTGTCAACATTCAAGCTTTCAACCTTGTACATGTCCACCAGCTACATCCACCAGTTGTCACCCGTTCTTTTCACTCCAACTTCGCACCTGGAAGAGTTGCAACGAGACTTGCCACTGCTGTGCTCGATTGCAAGCGCTCATCAAGGCACCTGAACGAGCCGCGCCGCGAACCCCATCACCGCGCGGTTTCCCCACGTGAGGGGGTCGCTCGAACACCCCTGGGTCGTTCGGGCAGCCAACGAATCCGGGGAATCCAAAACAATCTTGTCACTAGTTACTAGTTAGTAGTTTCTTGTCACTAGTAGCAATGCCGGGAGCTACGACTAGCTTCTTGTTACTAGTAGTAAGGTGCCTTGCTACTAGTAGTCACTTGCCAAAGTGCTGTAGATGATGATGTTCGCCGGCACCCTCTCCGTTTCCTCAGCCAAAAGCGACCATGTGGCTGACAAGTTCCCAAGCTGCAGAGTATGAAGACCATCAAGAACCAGAAAATAGATGGAGCACCCCAAATCCATGGTTGAGTCTTGCTCCATCTCAATTGAGGTGGCCATTCTGGACAATATAGTTGAAACATGCTCAAACTACCATGTGCAACATATTCACCCAACAACCTTGTTGCCAATCTATACTGCAACGATCTCCGCACCGCAAATCATGTTCGGCCAACCAAGTCGTCTGGCTTCTCTCGGCTTCGGCCCGCCCCCGGTCTCCGCCAGGAAGCCATCTGCGCTAGAAGCGCCAGGCCCACATGCCAAGGGGCCCTGCTGCTCACGGCGCCTCGGAGGTTGCATGGCGACCAAGGTACCATGGAAAATTAACATGGACCCTCAGTCCATGGTCCCCTGGAAGATAGTTTTTCCTCCACCAACCAGTGGTTTTGGGGTTCCATGTTAATCTTCAGGGGAGTAGATTTCAGTCATTGCAGGACTCCAGCAACTTTGAAGATCTTTGAGGGCCCCTAAGGGGAGAAATGATGAGAAATGACTCTCCTCTCAGCCTTCGGATCAAGGAATTGCGAGATGCTGATGTCTTCCGTCCCTGCAGATCGGTTTGGGCTGGAGTCAACTCCTCACACTTTTGGGTTGCCTATCTGATCAGATCTCCGCCCTACTTTTGATCCTTTTTGACCGAGTTCCTCTCCCCTTTCCGGCCTCCATAGACTGGAGTCAACTCACCTGCAGGCACCTGCCACACGTATCGAGCGCCGAACGGAAAACCGGCGGAAAGGGAACGAGGATGGACATCGAGAGGTCGATCGATGTTTAGTGGAACATCTGAGGGAGCTTCTTGTTTCTAATAGCGAACCTCGTTACTACTAGTAAGGCACTTGTTACTAGTAGCGATGCACTTGTTCCTAGTAGCTTCTTGTTTATATCGATGTGTTTGGTGATGTTTAGTGGGGCCACGCCTCTTGCTGGACGCGCTTCAGCAAGGCTAGGCTGATAGGCCAGGCACTGCCGCCACTGCAGGCGCCTCGGAACAGCTCAGCGGCTTCGGCCGTCCCAAACTGTTGATGGCCAAGTCAGAACCGTGCGGAGGGTTCTAAAAGGTTCCAAAGGTTGCGTGCAAAATTTATATTGTATATTATATTATATATATACTATATATATATATTATATTGTATTGTATATTGTGTGTGTTTTTCCCTAGCCCTATGAGAGAAAGGGCATCGCGAGTCTATAAGAACCACATACATATTGCACTAGGACCCTTGATAGGTATGGTCATCCTCCATACTGTAGTTTGGTATGCTTTGTTGACTAACCTATTGAAGCCCTGCCAATCTCCGTCAGGTGTCCCGTATTCCTATTCTGGTCAAGTCGACAATCTGTGAATACCTGTGGATCACAAAATGTTGTACATTATTGTCCGTGAAGATCCTCAGAACTGAATCTGGACAAATGAGCAGGTGTTGTGCCATGTTTCTCAACTTGCCGGGGCTGGTTGAATAAATGCCTATTTTTTGAGCCGCAAGCCATGTCTCTTCGCCGATTCAAGATCCACACGAGTTCACGTTCGCCACACCCAAACGCTGCGGCTGCGAGTTCCGCCTATGGCTGCGCTGAAGGACCAAAAGTCCACGCTGGTCTCGTCGCGCGGCAGAAGGTCCAAGGCTTCTCGCCATCGGGAGGCTTTGCCTGCGACCAGTCAAGAGGCTTCGCCAGGAGGCTGATCGCCTTCATCCACAACACTGTTTCACTCACCCGAAAACAATCAGGTGATCCTTGGTTCTGCACCATGAAACAGCAAAAGGTGCCAGAGGCGGGAAGCTTTGTTCCCTTTTCTCAACCACTTTTAGTCTCAAGTCCTGCTGCATGATCTGAATGTCATGACACCCAACTCCAGGCCCTACTCATCATCGACTCGGCATTCTCTTGCGGTCAGCAATGTGGTCCAATCTGCAAGCTTACCCGATCACCCTCATGGGTGTGGTTTTGGGGTCTAGTTTCTCACGTCTCACGCCCATCTACCACTCCGCCCACCACACCTTCGCTGGTGATCGCCTTCACTAAGCTCCGCGAAGACATCCATGGCTGCGTGATGTCCGGAAGACGCAGATGTCTAGGCCTCCTTGCCGAGGTGTTCCCGTAGACTGAAGATGAGACAGGGTAGAAACTGTTTGAAGAGAAGCTGATTGAACATATACGTGCCTTGGTCTTTGTTGGTTCCTTGGTGCAATTGGCTAAACAAACAAATACTGTATGTATATATTAAGAATTGAAACAAATGTAGCAACCCTGTGGATTCACCACCAACGTTCAAAGGACAAAAAGAGTTGGTGACTCTCCCAGCATGTTAGGCTACGAGAGAACCCCTCCGTATCTTGCTCCCCTTCCAAACCTTTGCCAGGTTGCTGCCGGGAGTGGCCATGTCTCACTGTCTCAGGGTTCATGTCTCACCTCCGGAATCGAGAGACACGCGCATGATGAAAGACGGCAGCCAAATGGCAGCTGGAAAGGCTTTCCGTCCTGGCAAAACAGTCCCAAGCCGGGCTTCATCAGCAATCCCTCCCTGTGACTGAGGGGCCGCTGTCCGAAGAAGTTTTCAGAGCTGTATCTACATGTTGAAGCCTGGTATGATATCCTTCACCAAAATAGTGAATCAACAGCAGAAAAAGGTTGGATCTTTGTACACTCAAAGTCTTGGAATAACTTATCCCCACAACCCCCGACCAAAAAAGGGAAACAATTGGGTTGTTTATCTGTCATTTTTATAGAGGGCCGCTAGGGCCTAGGGTTAGGAGTGAGAGGTTAGGAGCGAGGCAGGGCAGGATTCCCAAAAATGGCCCAGATGAGTCCTGATAATGCCCGCCAACAAAACATATTTGAAATCCAAGGATTTTCCGGTCCACTGTGATGTCCCGTGCCAAAGGCTTCAAAACGAAACTGAGATGTGATAGAGAATATATGGGAAAACCAATTCCACTAATCGAGAATTCTAAGTGAAACGGCAATCAGGGATGGTTCGGAGTCGAGTTTTCTTTTAAAGATCACTTGTTTAGACGGTTTATATGTTTATGTTAATACTGTTATATAATAGTATAGGTATAAACTTGAGTGGCGCGTTCCAACTTTGCTTTCTGGGTGTATGACTTCCTCTCTCTTGTTGTTATTCTTTTTGAATGGCAAACAGGTCCAGAAACTGGCCGTTGAGAAACAAGCTATACATAATGGGGGACCTTAGCGGACACCCCATGGTACTACCTCCTCTGGGGCGACCCCAAAATCAACAACCCTTATGTAAATCAGAAAATCAACGATCCGCGAGTCTCCCACTTTTGGTGCTCTCCGCGAGTCTCCGCATCTCGGATCCGCGTCTCCTGGACGAGTGAGAAGTGAGAAGTGATGAGAAGTGTCTCACCCGGACTCTTCAGGTGAAGAAACTGATGGAGGTTCCACCTGAACCAGGAGCCCAGTAGTTTGGGATCGTGCAAAATCATGCACCTATAAATTCCGTGTAATTCTATACACATCTACACACATCTGAAAATCCTCAGTTGGAGAGTGCACGAATTCGATGGACCGCAGGGTAGCTCTCCCGGCTTGTTTGGAGCGAGATTCCGAAAATCAGAATCCTCTCCATTGAGATCCCCCCTCCCCACATCTCCCTAAGTGAGCAGCCCAATTTCGGGTTGGACCCTCACCCCCAGTTGTACTTTCACCCCCTTTCAGCTGCCCGACCCTCGTGCGTCCATCTCCACCGACCCTTTGGCACCTACGCTCCGCTGCGCTCGGTCCGCTGCTCCTGCGGCTCCTTTACGAGTCGGAATGGCCCTTTGGCACCTGCGCGCGCGGTGACCGTTCGCGTGATTTTATTGGAGTTGTTCAGCCGCGCAAACACCCTAGATTCATCGAACAGCGCCAGTTTGTAGAGGATTTCATGGTATAGAATTGTCTTCCTGAGGCCATGCGTTGCCATGACATCTACGTAACCGCATGGAAATGGACAGTAAAAGGACGGAAGGAGTGACCGGAACAGAATAGACCGGAACCGAACCAAAGCAGCTGATACTTCCTGAAATCATCATGCTTACACGGGAGTGTCAGCTCCTTTGGTTTGGTTCCGCTACTCCTCCTCCCGTCCTCTTCCTTCCTTCCGGCCGGGCAGCCTCAGCCGATCAATCATGAAACTCCTACCCTCGCCATGAATGCCCCATCCACGGATATCCCGTCCTTTGTTGCTCTCCAGTCTATGGATGTGCGGCCAGATGCGCGAGACGCGAGACGCTGAGATACACGGAGAATGAGATACGTTCGGTCTCAACTTCGGCCAGTCTTCCATGCCGTTCCTGTCCTGCCTGATTGGAAACTATTCCCTTCTCCGGAGCTTTCGCACCAGAACTGCCCCGCGATCTGCTCCTTCGCGGGTGGGTTCCTACTTGGAAAATTAAAAGGAAACCGACAGCTAATCACCTGAGACACCATCAAAATAATGAAAAAAGTCTTCAATGCATCTGTGTTCATCAAGAGCCCAGAATTCTAGATTGCGGTGCCACATCAAAAGACTGTCTTTGTCGATCTGTGTCTCAGTCTGCCCTCCTCGCTGATCATGGAGCCCTCGTAGATGTTCAACGTCTCGCCCTCCCGCTCCTGGCGCGTCCGTTTCGGTCGTTGAGCACCAGGCAGGGGTGCCAGATTGTCCGTTTCGGTCGCCCCCGGCGCTCTGAGAAGCCGAAAAGCTTTGACCTCTCAATCAAAAAGGGGTGCTTGAAGGCTCTAAAACGAAACTCCCGAACTGGTTGGACGTGTTTTTGCACCCTGAGAATTGCCAAGTTTTTGGGAATCCGATCAGGGAAAATTCAAGACAACTACGATGTGAAACTGCGGAATCGCAAAAAAAGGCCATCAAAGACCTACCTTGCAAGTCGATAAAGCCATCCACGACAACTCGGAATCTTGAGCCCTACCCATAGATGATGGTGGCTCTTTCTGGAAAATTAGTGTTCAGATATTCAGATATGGCGATCTTGTGGGAAAAACATGGCTATTCGAGGGGCTCAAAAAGTACGGGGGCTACACCGCTAGGAAAACTGGGAGCACTGCAAGTTGTGCGCAACCCACTAGATCAAAGTGCACAGCACCGCTCCCCTGTTTGTCTACCCAACGGCCACTCGCTGCAAGTCAGCGAAGCTGCGTGCGGGGCGTCGGCAATCTGTCTGAGACAGTGAAGCCCAGCCTCACCTTCTATCGTCGAGAAGTTGAGAAGAGAGTGATGTTGAATGAAACCATCTGTGAGAAAATGACTGAAGGCGACTTATATCGATCTATTAGGCGCTTGAAGTCGAGCGACTTTATACACGTAAACGCGCCCAAAGTAAACAACGATGAGCAACTCGAATTGGGTGCTAATTCGGGGATCATCATGCGCTGCGAAGGCTGCCAGCATCCAATCGCCGACAGGCTGGCCGCCACGATGATCTATGCGGTAACCCTGGCAGAGCACTCACGATAGCCAAGGGCAACCGGCCGATGATGAGTGAAAGCAAAAGGAAACTTGGAAATGTCCACTTCAAGCCCTTAGTTACTGCCTTCCTTTCAAGTCATTCTGTCTTAGCTGCCCACAACGTACTTGCCATGAGGGATTAGGAAAGGATCGTTCGAAGTTCTGGTCCTTTGCGAATGTTCTGTTGAGCTGCGCATTCATTTTGCAGAATGAGAACCACTTGCATTGGACATGAAAAAGTGGTGGTGCCCCTGAACCAACTCTAATGGTTTAATTTGTGATCTGTAGCGCTAGCATGGGTATGCGAAAGAGGTATCCCTGTCTAAGTCCGCGTCAGCCTGCACGACGATGGAACGGATCGATGCCTCTGTCCCTGAGGGCAGAGACACTGACGGCCAACACACAGAGCTGACGCTTAGCTGCTTCTCGAGGTTGGACTGCACATTGTCCCTCAAATGGAAATTTGAATTCAACTGGGATGTTTCCAATCAGCCGACTCCACTGTCCATGTGGGTGTCTTTGCTGGTTCTACAAGTCTTTCAATTGGCTACAGCCGCCTCCATTCTACCAAAGTCAAATTTTCAAGTCAGTGTTGCCGACATTGCCTGCGAAAGCAAACCATAAGTGGGCCGCGTGCTCCCAGCAACGGCCACATTGCTCGTTGGCAATGAGGAAGGGTGCAGCGACCCCTTTCGAGGTTTTGCATGCTTTGCGCCTGGGTTCTCACTGAGCAGCCGTGTTTGAAGCAGGAATGTCGGGTCCAAAGCCTTCCGCCACAGAATTGTATCTCAAACACATGGAACACATTCCAGTAAACCAAGAGCATGTCGTAGTCATGCTAGGGGAAGTTGCGAGGCAACCTGGCTGGATATCTCTCGCCTCAAATCTCTAATGATAAACAAATATATTCCTCAGAAGTGCCAACTGGCGAATTCTTCACTTCGTGGGCAGCAATGGCACTTTCAGGGCTGTAAACGAAGCCCATCGGCTCGTTGCATACGCCGGCCACGGCAAAGGTCAGGCGCAATCCCTTTCTCGCAAGGATGTCAGTCGAGCCCACAGAGCTTCGAACGACGACGCGCTTTCTTCAAATGACAGTGTCTCTGTGTAGCATGTCACGCACTTCACCTCACAAAGCCAATCAAAACCTATCTTTGCGGCTCTCGCAGCCAATGTTGGATGACTATTGGCACTTAGCACTATATAAATACTTATTAAGAAAACTGATTGTCACAGGGGCGTGTCCCCATCAAAGCCGAGCTTTCCGATCCAGGGCTCCGGGCCAAGCTTTGTCATTTACCGTGGTGGAACATGGGCTCATATCCGCAGCCGAAAAGACAAGGGTGACAAGGGTTTGTCTCTTCAACGGATACGCAAGAAATATTAAAACATGGACTTTACCTGGGCTTATTTAAGTCAAAATAAACATCTATCGAAGTATATAATATGTATATGTATAAATATAAATATAAATATATATATATATATTTCTGTTGGCCAGTTACATTCGTTTGGTTGGCGCCAGGCCTCTCACAACCTGGAGTACCCAAGCCCCCCAGAAACTGATTAACTTGGTTGCACAAGTGTCATTCCTCTGTCCCTCGTCCATTTGACAAGGTCCAGCTGGATTCTTTCTTCCAATTCTTCTCCATTCTTCACGTTCTTTTCTGAATCTCTGTTCTGGGTGAGCCGTCCAAAGGAGAGCGCATCTTCCTTGGGTATGTCATATCACCGTATATCCCATTACCAAATGATGATTATTATTACTACTATTATTAGGTTGCAGGCCTTCCTCAAAAATGGTGATATCATTGTTTGACCGACTGCTACTGGCAATGGGACACAACCTACATATCCCTACATATTCTCTCAAGCATCCATCATCTTCCCCTTTACCCTCTTTTCCACAGACCCTCCCACGGTGCGTCCTCAATCCTCACGGACGTGCCGGAAGACACCGTGCAGCAGCACTCAGCGTTGGTGGCCTGGCCCTCGAAAAGGAAGCGCACCACATAGGCTGCCCCGTCTCCGCCTTCGGCCTGGAATCCAGGCATGTTTCGGTGTCTGTGGGAACAACGGTGACAACGAAGGTTGGATCAAAGGCACAACTGGAGTTGAGTGAGTTGTGTCACACCCAGAGAAACACAAACATGTGTGAAATAGGTGCGGTGGGTCCGCTCCCATTCAACACAGGACATGGTGAAGGGTGCTAGTTCCACTGGTCAGTACACAAGTGTCTTCCCGTTTTTCCGACCATCGTTTTAGCAGTCCCTTCGGCGGCAAGGAACCTGTTGAATTTCCACCACGAAGTCCTCATCCCCGTCATCCTCATAGCGCCAGCGCCCTGCTAAGCGCCCCTGAGCCACGGGAAGGAGGTGATGCACAGGCCGCTGCGCGGGTGCCTGCGACGACAGCTGCAGCAGTTGAAACTAAAACAACCTCGGATCTTTGTTGTCAATGGACAAAGTGTCGTTTGTCAGAGACCTTTTTCGAACGCTGGTATATCCGAACTCACATAAGGACCCATTATAGTGTATGATTTTGGGATTGATAAACCCATTGCATGCAGTGGTGCACAGTCTGACAGTGAAATTTGGTTCATTTGACCTCGAAGCGTGTCCATAGGCTGAACTTTCAGATCTCAGCAAGGCACTGGCTGCTGCCGTTTGCTTTTTGTAGAGTCTACAAGACTACAGCAATGTGTTGGATGCAGCAGAGGCACTGGACCGTTTGCAGCAGTGAAACTGCTTTGGGTATGCTATATCTGACCTATGCAGACGCCGCTACGGCGCTTCTTCCGAAGAGCACCAAATTCCAGCGCAACGAAGCTTGTTCAATCGGCACCGCTCCCACCCACCAACGAGCACCCCGCATCGTCATCAAAGGCATCACAGTTAGCTCCCCCTCTATGTCAGCATCCACCCATGGAAAACCTCCACAAACGCCGCCGCACCTCCACACAGGGTCTGCTGCCATCGTTCTCCGGGGCCTGACAATGAAAACACCTGTTTTTCCACGTGCACCGGGCGAGGGGAGAACACGTACAGGGAACCAAATATAAAAGTTGTTTGATGTCTTTTGGGTGGGCCCCGTTTGGCTTCTCCAGAATCCAGTATACCGTATACCATCGTAAGCAAAAATTCGAACTTGGAGGTCTGGCGGTGGACTGCCAGACAATTGGCCCGCCGAGTCACGCCCAGTGGGAACCATTGACTCGGCTCATGTTGAGCGCTTTTGGGTGCTTTGCCACCGAACCCGAAATCCAGCGCACCGGTTTCTGGATCTTCTGGATGGCTAAAAATCTGATACAGTCTGATACAGTATGTCGTCGAAACAAACGAAGTCCTCGACCGACAAGAAGAGAAAACGAAGGGTGGTTCGAGAAAACAAGCACCACAGCGCGCGGGGTCTTGGACTCTTGAGCCCACCCGTCTCGGTGGAACAGAAAGGCACGTCAGTACAAAAAGGAAAATGCCATGATGCACGGCGCGGATCTTCACATCTGAGCACTTCTGGCCAGCTTGGTCCACTGTGAATCCTGTCAAACATATACTTGGATGAGGTTTTCTCATCCTGCCAGCACTCCAACCTCTGGGCGCGAAAAAAGGGCGTATCCGTATGACTTCTTGTTGAGCGACGGGACGTGGGTGGACGTAGCTCCTCCAAAAAACATCCAGTTGCTAAGAATAACATCAAGCTCTTATCTTTAAATTGGAGGACTCCATATAAAGTATAAAGACACATGGTAAAAGGATGCAAAAGGATGTAAAAGGTCGTTGTTGTTTAAACAACAACCCGTGTTTTTCCTGGACCCATCTTTTGAGGCAGCTCCCAGTTAAAACCTCTTCCAAAGCGCCTCAAGCGGTGTCTCGGCAAAGAAGCGACGTGCCAGTGGGTTCACAGCCACGACCTGCGACGAATCGCGATGACGCACTGCACCGGTCACGGCGACCCGGTCCGGGAGGGAGCTGAGTTGAGATGATGGCTACCTGGCCAATTTAAAAGGGAACGTGTTTGATTGAATTTGAGATAGCCAATGGAAGAAATGGAAGTGCACCCAAAATGGGAGTCCATCATTTTTACCATCTTTTACTCCAATTTTTTGCTTATACTTCATCGTGATGAAAGCACGCCCAGTGGCTCAGTTGGAGATCACTGGACTCCCTCTAGACTGGAGTGGGGCCACATCCTGCTAGTGTGCTTAGCATCCAGAGATGGTCAATGGCACCTCCAAAAGAATAGTGAATGGAACAATCATAGAAACTGCAAGGCAGGCTTTCTTACGTGCCTAACAGGATCTATTCTGCTGTATCGGTTTTATCGAACGACCGTGTTATTTGGCATGCAAATCCAGGTGAAATCTTCCTCGCTGTCAAGCACCTCACTCACGACGATAAGTTCCATAAGAAAACACTAAGTCACTTAGTCACTAAGCAATCCTGAGCAAACAGGAGCTGATCCGTAAACGCCAAGCAATGCAGCTCGAGAGCCTCTGCCATGAAGCCAGCATCTGTCCGCAGTGCCTCACCCGGTCCCCACGTCTCAACAGAATTTTCTGAGATTCCGTGACACAAAAAGCGTCAAGACATTCCCGTTCTCGGAAAAAAGGAACATCTCCTTTTAAATGGAAACAAAAATAGCCAAACCGAGAAACCGAGAGAACAGGTGGACTTCCTGGACCAGTTGGTTCGCAGTTGGTTCGTCCTTGGACCACCTGGTCGACCTTCCGACCTGGACCCCCGCTGAGAACGGAAGAAAGCGCGCGGCGTGAGGTCGCGAAAGCCGAAGTTGTAACGAGATGTGTTCGGCCAAGTGCATTGAATGCGATTGTAACCAATCTTATTAATCTTCAGTAACCAATCTTCTGTAAAAATGTAGTAACCAATCTTCGGTAATTTTACCAGCCCTGACTCTATGTCACCAATTAGGCCTCAGAATGTCCAACAACCCTCCTGAAGACAACTATTGTCAAGGGTGATGATCGCTTAAATGGTGGTGCGGCTGATCTATATAAATTCCTTCTTACGAAAACACAATTCTTCGCGAAAAAAGAATACGTGTGCTAATCTTTCGCGGACTCCATGTTTAACTTTTGGCAGAGAGATTCTCCTTGGTGTGGTTGTTTCCACATATCTTTCGCAAAGCTTTCGCAAACAAAATAGTATATACTTTTGCGGAAAAAAAGAGTAGTAAGCTTTTGCGAACAACATAGAAGGCTCTCAATGAACCTATTGCAGGCCCTATGTCGACACTTTGATCAACATCTGAAAACTCCAGATGTTCGTCCAGATTTGTATCCTCCACCCTTTTCCACGGCCAGAAAACGACAAGAAAGAGGCTTGGACAACAGTCGTCTCTGAGCATGACCGGGCGCTCGCCTTTGGTGCGCAGTCGATGGCCCAACCTCATCAAAAAGCATGACGGAGTGGCAAAGAAAAAGAGCACCCTCCTATGGATCAACAGATCAACATGGGCCGCAAATAGGCCCGGAAACCATCGGCTTGAAAAGGAAAACATCTTCCAAGGGTCCATGTTCCCACTGCCAACAGCACCATGAACCACTACTACAACTTGAAGCATACCCGAAACCACACTGGCGCGCCCGCATTGTCTGTTCAGCCCGCGGCTGTTGAGTTTCGAGGCCTCCAAAAGAAGCTCTCGATCGGCCTGAAGCCTCAAGGCGTCCACCCGGCTTCAAAAGCTCAGTCGGGAATGAGGGAATGAACCACCCCTGTAGATACCTCAGGGCCATTCCCATATTCCCAAATAATTCAGCACCAGTCAGACCAAGGTGAGAACGGCGGGTTTCCAAGCTCTCGATCACCCAAACATGGGAACATGGATCGCCCTCCGAGCCTTTAAACATCGCTACGAACGGAGCAAGGACGCGTGAACGGGCCCGCCCTTCACGGGCCCCGTGAAGCCTCGGGGTTGTCACCTCATCTAGCTGTCTCACGAGCCCTGTCCCTGTCGAGGCAGGAGATTAATCTGTCACAAATGGAAGCACAAAACACCGTCTCGGAGTGATCCCGGTCGGGTGCCGCAAGAAAGAGATACAGTAGATGGGCCTTCAGCACCATTCATCTTGATCCAATTCTGAAAAGGCTTGAAAATGTGGACGTGAGAATGATGGGATATGATGGATGATGTGAGAGGGATTCATCCTGTTCACTTCACTTTGAAGTTCAGATCTCAAGCCTCCTGCAATGCTCCGAAGTGGTAGATACACGAGAAAGAAACCACTGGACTGGTTGTTCCATATTCAATTCATATTCTGATTCTACTGACTAATCTGATATTGACCGTAGTTCCAAGCACTGATAACTAACCTTCTTATATAGCAATCCATTCTGTTCATGTTCGCTGGTCAACCGAAGTCTCGTTTTCGAGGGCAACCGATCTTCAACCATCACCAGAAAGGATACACACTCCTGGGATGCGAAGGGGATCCGGAATCCTGGGGCACTTGACTTCCTGAACACCGGTGCGCAACCAGACTCTTGCACCAATCAACATGGATTGACAACCACCTGAATCTGCTCAACGCGTCGTATATCTCAAGCAAGAGAAACCGTCTTATCTTTGCCAAAGAACATAAACCACCCTTGGGGACAGAGAATCCTTTAGAGCACCACCCCTGGCACAAGGCCTGGCAGCAGAATTTGGAGAAAAGACAAAAGTTGTTGACCCACCCCCTCCTGTGTTCATCACAAACTTTTGAGGGTCTGTTGTGCTTTGCCTGGCACTGGCGTAATGCAATGCCCGGCCATCCACTGCCACAGCCTGGCTGAGCGCTTCAGCCAGGCGCCCAGGGAGCCAGGAGAGTATCAAGGGTTCAAAACCAGCAACCATTGATTCTATTCTAACCGGGAGACCTCCCAGTGTTGATCTCCTGGAAGAGGGGGAAATAGACCAGTCTACCGTCTACAAAGTGGGCCAGGGGGTCTCCCTTTGTAAAATACACACCCGAAGGCCGTGTTCAGGGCTGCGATGTTTTGGGGAGTTCCTGACAAGATGGCCATGAATTTCCACATCTACCAGAAATGCTTGCGGGTTTCCTCATATTGAGACCCAACCCAACCCCCCAACAATTGGTCAAGTTGTCAGGAAGTTAAAATCTGATCTATATAAGACTATCCCGGTATCCCTGAATCGATGTATTGTATACTGTACTTACCTACGGGCGCTGAGAGGAACTGACGTAGGCAGAATTATGTGTATACATATATATATATATACGTTGATTTCATACATGGATTGTCAGGGTATTGGAAGCTTCACTACTATTGGATCTATTGGTCAAGCCTTTCCCTTTGAAGAACATACCTAAGAACATGCCATCAAGTTGAATTGCATCTTTTTCAGGACTGAGCAGTGGTACCTCTATCTCCTCGATCCGCGCAGCACACATGGATTCATCGGGCTTTGGATGTTTTGGTGTCCCACCGCGACCCAAAACAACTCCCCCGACATGTCGGAAGATTTCTGCTCAGAAGGAACCATAGAAGCATACAGAACCTGAGAAGCTGGGTAAACACTCGGATTTCTGATGTTCTGTTCAATGTTATATCCAATGCTCCGCAACCCAATGATGTCCTGCGGAATCATCTGACGGGGTCAGTATCAGGTACCATATACCGATGCGTTGCCCTGAAATGTATATCCCCTTAAACAAATTGAACCAACGGACCAAGGGCGGTTTGGTCGGGCCATCTGTCTATGTCTGCATCTAGTTCCCGGACTTCACCACCACCTCCACCAAATGCGCCAAACACGTCCAAAACAAATTCTCCTACCACTGCAAAGACTATACTTTGCTTGTGCTGATAATTCCTTTGCAAACTACCAAGAAGCATTCTTGAAATGTCATGTTACACTGCGGATCTGGGATCTGCCAAGGCACCTGCCTTGGCCATGAAGTCTCGTTGGTCCTTCAATGCTGCATCTGCGAAGCGCAGCGCCTCGCACGAGAAATGCGAAGTGCTCCCATGGGTATTGCTGCCATTCTGACCCTCAGATGGCAACGCAAACACTTGATGAAACACGATGGAACCAGAAGATTTATCACCCTGAATAGCTGAGATGGGCATTTATGATCGGCAAACCTTTGTGAGGTCTCAACAATGGGGCGGTGTTCCGCAAAGAATGAACAAACCTTAGCCTTGCAGCCTTGCAACGGAAGGATCAGCCAGTCTGTTTGCTAGATCGACCGGCCGCGATCCCCCCGGCTTTGTAGCCAGTTTACAGGAAGATGAGGGAATGCTCGTGCAGTGTCCAACATTTCAAGCGGAGAGAGAGGAACACATCATTCTATATGCTGATAAAAAGCGGTGATGATGACGACGACGATGAGTACAACTACGAGCTCAGCTTGTTTTGGCTTATATGAGACATATGAGAGGGGGTAGCGGGCAGCCGTCGGCGGCCCTAGTAACTGGATCAACATATATGAAGCGCGGCCGCCGAGGGCTATTTTCAGAACAAGACTGCCCTGCCACCCAAAACGTGTGTGGCCCGCTGAGCACTGGGGCACTTTTCGTTCCCCCCCCCTGCCAATGGCCTCTGCGCTCCTGGCTGAGCATCTGAGTCTGAAAGACCCAGATTGAAATTGAATCACTACACACGCTTTTGGTTGCTCACATCACAGTTCATCACACATCAACCAGAAGTGAACTCCCATGGTTGGTTCTTGCCACACTTCTTCTCCCGCTGAACTCCCTCGTCCACCAGTACAGTATGCATTTCTGACTTCTTGCAAAAACAGTGGGGGAAAAAACAAAAACACAAACACGGCAATGCCCCCAGGTTGACCGCTGGTATGGATGTGTTGGTAGTATTCAAGGATGCATGATTGAAGATTTGGCTGGACAATACTGCATCCTGCAAAGTCAACTCCAAGTTCAAAGAGCGAGAGCCCCGTATAATACGTAGAGAAAAAAGGAATTGAATATATGTATATAATGTAATATACATATTTATATAAATACAACATACGAAATATACATAGTGTCTATTATATATACATATTATTTGAATGCGAGTGGATCTTAATCAGCGAAGTTTGAAGCTATCACTGACGGTCCATAAGCGGCGTAGCGTCGGAACGGAAACCGCACCTTTTCTAGTCGCTTGATCCTTGAGCCAAAATACATATGGTACATATATATGTACAAGTTGCACTGTACGTGTCGCTGCACTTCCATTCGCACCCCCCATGTGAACGGCAACAATATGTTCCGATCACACACGAAAATTTAGGGATGTAAGTGCTACAAAAGAAATTGTATGATTTGCCGCGAGACTCATATGAGGCTCATACTACGAAACATGCTGGACTAAAGCGGACTTTTACATATAAAGTGTGCAACTATGGCTCAGAACCTATGAAAATCGAATTGAACAAGTGAGACAGTCACGAGGCCTCGCTCAGTATCCACTCAAAAGAGCATCGCTTTGATGTAGATCCGAACTGGTGACTTCCACGTAGATGTCACATCGGCAACTGACTTCACACTTCTCAAAAGATGTAGGTTTTGATTTGGATACACTTACAGAACGGCAAGTCGGAGAGACAGTCGGTGACTGTCTGCCTTCCATTATGCTCATGGTATCAAATCGTCAATCCGATGATTTGCAATGATACACTTACAGCGTTTCAGGTCAGATAGACATCCGGTGAATGACTTCCTCCCTGGTTTGCATGGTATCCTCATAGTCGTTCAAAGAAATCACCACTGGTGATAACCTCTCCATCCACGATGATCCCAGCTGCCCTGAGCATCCCACCGATCATCTTCTCCCTTCTTGGACTTTCCCTTGGACTTGCTCTTTCCCTTCCCCTTTTCAGAAGGTTGAGGTACTTCGCGACGTTCTTGCGTTAGCGCCGGCCTCCAAGATGTTCCAGATTGGCCTCCTCCTTTGGAATGTCCTCGGGACGATGAAGAAGTTGTACCTTCTGCTGCATGTGCGTTGGCGGTAAGATCTTCCTGCAAAGCTTGCTCAAACACATCGGTAGCACTGGATGGTGATTTATCATGTGGTCTGGCTTTTGGAGCAGCCTTCGCCTTGTTCTCCTCTGCTGATGAGGGCCCGAAACTCTTAGGTGCTGTTGAAGGTTTTGGCTCCTCACTTGGTGCTGACGACGGCTTGGCCTCGGTTCTGGGTGTAGATGCTGGCTTTGCCTCAGCTCTTGACGAAGATGCTGCTTTCGCTTCAGACTTAGTCGTTGATGTTGACTTAGCTGTTGCCTTGGCTGCCTGCTTCTTCTTGCCCTGAATCTCCTTGGCCCTATCTCCAAAGCCTAGACGATTGGTAAGAGCTTGAACATGCTTATGTTCTACCACGCTCATCCATCTCTCTGTATGTCCAACGTTGGGGTTTCTGGCCATTGACTCTATGACTTCCTGAGCTTGTGGGGGCAACCTGATCTCATGTTGATCAATGATCAACAGAATAGACTTCTCCCACTTGCTCTTCATTCTCGAGTACATGATGTCCAGAGGATCGATCACCTTGTGGTAGGGTGACGTAACGTCGGTTCTAAAGTAAGAATATGTCCGACACCCATAAATCGCATGGATGCACTTCTGTACCAATTCAGTCATTGCGCTGGCTTTCTTCGCTTTCAACTCCTCAAGCTGGGCATCAGTCAAGTTGGTGGAGTGTTCGAAGTTGCCATATTCCTCCTTGAAGGATTGCGGAGTATGACCAAATGATAGGATCACGAGTGCTACCTTGCAAATGAATTGCTCTCCTCTGAATCGGTGCCAGGCCTCCTCAGTTGTAATATTGTTGTCGTTGGCAAAGATTAACATCATATCATCTGTTGGATCCAATGGTCTCCCATCGTCATCGATTTCAGTGGAATCTCCTGTACCGAACTTGCTTATCACATCCAGACGCTTCCTTTTCCAATTTGCTTTGAAGTCGGTAAGGCTGGTGCAATAGTAGCTCTTGTACATCAGGGAGATCATGTTCAGCACACATTTGACCACATACCTATCCATCAAACCCGATGCTTTCACGGAGACGTCCTGACAGTAGGCTCTCTCTTGATGCGCATAGATTCGAGGTTCCGGTACTCGACAATAGATGGGGAGATCTTCGTTGTCTCTTCCTTCTTCGGGATTGAACTCGGTCGCTCCATGCTGTGCATAGTATCCCGGTTCATCACGATCTGTCGGTCGATTCGCCTCCGGATGTAAGTCGTCGGTGACGTCTTCATCCTCGGGCTCACCATCTTGACGTTTCTTCCCCTCATATTGTTGTGTGCTCCTCTGGATCTCGATGATCACGTTTCGTTCGTCTTCATCTTCTAGATCAGAATCACGACCGTAGTCGATCTCGTCCTCATTGAAAGATGGGGTCTCGACATTGTCACTCTTGAAGTTTTCTGCACCATCAGACGGTTTGGAAGGATCTAGATTGTCCATGTCCTCGTCGTCGTCAGCTGCTTCAGTTTGAGCGATGTCTTCTTCCCAAGCCTTTCTGATCTCGTCCATAGTGGCCTGGTCCAATATATCTTGATCATCATCTTCAGGCTCCTTCTTTTCCTTCTTTTCCTCTTCATCGTCGCTCACAAGATCAACGGGTGAATCGGAAATGACAGTGTTGCGAATACCACACGAGAGTAGCCTGCCTTGACAAGATAGACACACGGACAAAGATGAAGAAGTCAAATGCATACATGATGGACACAAAATATTGCCATCCACGTTGCGATACCCTTCACATGTTCTGGAGATGATTTCGTCCCAAGTTTCCTCACTGATGGAATCCTCGATCAGCTCTCCATTGCCATCGAATTGTACTTCATCGATAAGGAACACGAGCTTTTGGACGTTGTCATCTGTCGCCGAGGCTGACTTCGTGACTTCGTCGGCTCTCTCGAGGATGGTATGCTTCTGAGCAACCCAAAGTCCATGACGTGCCGCTAGAACAACTTGCTCTCCAGTGCTTCCCAGCAGGAGTCTCCTCCATGCCTGAACGTGGTCGTCCCAATACCAAGCACCTCGTACACATCTCCATGGAACTTCTCTAAAAACAACAGTGTAGGAATTCTCCGAACTTCTTCCCCCAAGCTTCCTCAAAGTCATGATTGGAACATAAAGGCAAACGGGCATTCCCACTCTTGGCCATCTTGATCTCAGAATCTTTGATGATCGATCATCCCACGGCGCAAAGTGGTTGAAGAAAACACTACCTCTATATCCCTCCGTTCCACCAGGGACAATTCCTAGTTTCATGATTGACTCAATATTGGAAAGCGATGTCATGTGAAAGCTTCCTCCAAGCTGCATTGCCACATTCTCTGGAATGAGATGTGAAGTCCACACAGGATATATTGACACATCCTCTTCAAGAACAGTCTCTCTTCCAGAATTGTGAGAGGCAACAGCTCGAATTGCACAAGGAACGATCCAACGTTCATGCTTCAGAAATGACGGTGCGTCTGTGCTGTAAAACATGAGGTTTGCCCAGTATTGCCTTTCCTCTTCGAGTGAGACATCCTCCTTTGAGATGCGAATGGCGGCAATCTGATAGCGTACTCTGTTCTGCAACTTCTTTGCATGCCACATCGCCTTGCATAAATACTGGTATCGCTCTGTCTTGGTATCTTGCTCACGTTGAGTACCTGAGATAGTACTGATATCGACACCATCGTTGAAGACATGATCATATTCCAGGATCTCATCGATGTTCACCCATCCACCCTCATTGCACTTCGGGGACACATGAGGTTTTCGACCGCGGTGCGATTGAATCCCATTATGCTTTCCCACTCCATGCCTGAGTAGTCTATTGAGTCTATGGCTAATCTCATTGACCCACTGACTCTCCTCGCTGAACTTGTCGATGCGAGTTACTGGGTTCATCTTTGGTGGATCCGTGAAAGTTGCATCTCTCTTCGGTCCATTCCAGTACTCCACATAGAATGTAACTCCATACTGTGGAATGATCTCGATGCTTCCTCTGTCGCAAGT